ATTTCTGATTGCAATCCAAGCAACTAACAATTATAGGTAATGTATATCCTAATGAAAATATTATTATTATGATAATTACCATAAACAAACCTTGAGTATATATGGAGTCATTCTTATCACGTTCCCTATAATTCTTCGAAGGCTCTAGCTGTCCTTCCTCTGAGCTCCCAAAAATGTTTGACTCCACCAAATCCTATAATGTAATAATTTTATATCAAGTGTACTCTTTGGTATCTCCTGCATATCTTACATCATTAGTATCATACACAACGTAGAGCTTGTGTCTACTCGGTTTATAATCATTGTCCTTATAATATTCCTCCAAGTTCCAATCACAAGGATTAACATTCACTATCATTCCAGAGGAGTCAGCTAGATTCATTTTCTTCAAATTAGCTTTATCACCAAAATAGAGCTCCTTCGCACGCATGAAAATATCATCAAGTGATGATTTTCTAGATAATTCAACTTTCTGTGGATTTGGTCCTGGAATAGATCGCCTCCTGAACCCTTTACCTGCCTCCATGTCATACAACATTCCACCTAGTATAATCTAAAAATTGTAATGCAGTAAAAATAAATAAATACAATCATTACTGTCATTCTCCTTGGATCGCCACCCTTAACATTCTGTTGTGGCATCCCTGAGCCTCTTTTCTTATATAAATCAGCAAGTTCTTTAATATTGTCTCGAATAGATTCATCTATTTTAATTAATATTAAAATTATTATTATGATCTGTACTGAAAAATAACATTATTAAAAATAACATTATTATAAATTAGAACTAGGAAGTTTATTAGTGACAGATGGCAATTAATACTAAAATTACTAATTTCTGAAAGGTGAGCGAGAGACAGGGAGATTACAATATCATAACGTCAGATGTTTTTTAATAATGATAATAATAATAAAACATACCACGAACAGCAGGAGATGGGGACTTTACGGCCATCAGAGATGAAGAAGCGGTAGATGGTGTTGGAGAAAGAGGATTCTCAGAACTTCTCTCCATTCTCTGTGGTTGCCAGTAATGATGATGATAATAATAATAATAAGGCTGTGTCTACAGCTCCGGTAACCGGACGTAGTTTGCAATGCTAGAGCTCCGGCAGTCCGTTTTTCTCCGTAAAACAGCTTGTGCGCATGCGCAGTAGTGCAAAATGGAACTTAGTCTTTTTATCAAGAAACACTAAACCCTAACCCCAAAACCCTACGATCCCGGAGGCTAAGATGTACGAGAGGGTGCTCTAAAAACTAAACCCCAATCTCAACCCTACGACCCCGGAGGCTAAGATGTACAAGAGGGTGCTCTAAAAACTAAACACTAAACCCCAATCCCAACCCTACGACCCCGGAGGCTAAGATGTACGAGAGGGTGCTCTAAAAACTAAACACTAAACCCCAATCCCAACCCTACGACCCCGGAGGCTAAGATGTACGAGAGGGTGCTATTTCTTGACCCAAAAAAAGCCAAAAAGAAAAAAATTGCAAAAAAAGATATTTTTAAAAAGAAAAAAAAAATCAAAAACTGCAGCATAGTTTTACTCGGTAGTCCTGACCGGATTCGAACCCCTGACCATATCCGTGCAATCCACACCAGCCTCTCCACTGCACCACCACGACCTTGCTGCATCATCAACGCTGGTTGTTGTATTTATACTCGGTTTCTATAATATAAATCAGTGTATTATTAATGCTGGGGCGTAGCCCCAGTATATATATAGGGGCGAAGCCCCTATTACCGGAGCTCTAGCACTGCATACCGTGTCCGGTTACCGGAGCTCTAGACACTTCCATTTCGATAATAACATGGGCCGCGTGAGGCGGCGAAGATTCTGTCAACAAAACTATGTTTAACCCGAACCGTCACAAAGAACAGTCATGAACTCCCAAGACCTATCTGTTCATCATCGATAGTAAATAAAATTCAAATTAATACAGTTGGAGACTTGGAGAAGAGCTTGTGTAGTCCTTCCATTGCTTTTCCACCATAAAGCGGTTGCAGTGACGTCACTTTTTGACGTCATAATTACTTCCGTATGGCAAAAATTAATGAGCCTCGTTCGTTTACAGTAGTAAAGTTGCTTCTTCTATGACTTCTTTTACACAGCACAAGGCAGAAAAGGAGTACAATTCTAGCGGTAGTAAGCAGAAAAGTGGCGATAGCAATAATTACAGGAGTAACAAGGCAATGCTGTGTTCACTTTGGCCGCTTCACTGGTTCTCTATCCGAGGACTTTTTGCTTCCCTTACATCCCTGAGTCCAGGAAAATGAAAGAGTAGCATGAATTAGCCATGCTCATAGTTAAGGAAGCCTTCAAGAAGAGTTTATAGCGCTGTAGAAATGAATGGCAAAGTAGCCATTTTGCCATGCGGAAGTAATTATGACGCATGCTGTGACGTCATATGAAACCACTCTAGCTAGATCTATTGCATGCAGAGTCTGTCCGTTTGACGTCATCAGTTTCCAATCCCTAGGCCTAGCCTAGGCCCTGTTACTTATTAAGTAATACCGTAGAGGGAGGGGCTGGTAACGCGAGACTAGACCAGAGACTAGACTAGGGTTGGTTGATCCATAATGACAACTACTTCTTCAATAGTAAGCGAAGCAGATTCTGGTCGAGCTACTGTAGCTGGTCATGATAGCCATCACGCTGCATCTAATTTAAAGTCTTTTGTTACTGAATCGGAACCAGGCCAGTCATCTGAGGTAAGCCTAAAGTTGCACTGATAAAGTTCACATACATGTGTATAAAAGTACAGGGGACTATGCCATAGATCATAGATACGATATAGCTTGAAATTTTTATGGGTCGGTATTTTCGTGGTTTGCTCCTGGTAGGCAATTCGTGGTTTAATTTTTATGGTTGACAGTTTACATAGCCTGTAAGGGGATGGCACTTCAATGATTTCGTGGGTTTAAATTTTATGGGCAGCCCAAAACCATGAAATTTACATTCCACAAAAATTTCAAGTTATACGGTATTAGAAACGGACCTGGATATGAAACAGGAAATAGATTATACATGAATTTATATGGGTTAGTGATATGTACTGTCATATGTGCTCTCAACAGCTACTGCATGCCCAATTCCTGCTATTTGTTATTGCTACATTATGCCCATTTAAGTAAATAAAGTTTCAAGCTAATAATAACCTACTAACAACTTGAAATAAAGCCATGTGATGGTATTTCTTATTGTTCATCTACCAAAAGTTGGGGGGGGGGGCTTCAGCCCCCTACACCTATGGTCAGGACGAATCCAACACTCTTTTTTGGTGTGCACTTTTATGGCTTGGGTGGGGCTCAATGCTTGCATTTGGCTATTCTAAAATGTGCTGTATGGTGCTTCTTGGGCTGAAAGATAATATAAATTAGTTTCCTTCAGGCTCCTTCTCTAGACTCAGTCATAAATAAACCATATAAAAGATCCCATTTTGAGCAGTTAGATAGAACTAGGTCTAAATTGGCATAGATATAATTGCACATGTAAAAGATGGTGAAAGGGCTTGCTTTAAATGTTTACACGAGTTAGAGAAGCTGGAAAAATAGAAACCTCTTTAACAATTGTTAAGAAGTGCCACGGTAAAATTTTCCTAACAGCCGGATCGTTTTCATCACCATAAACACACAATGGATGTCTATTACTTCACACAAAGACATATTAAGGCCCTCTGTATCTTCCAGTGTCTCTAGAAAAGTTCTTAGATATTATCTTTGCCTTGTTTTGCTGCTATAAAGGTCCTGTTTTGAATCCGCCATTTTGTTTTTGACTCATGATACGTCACTGCACGAATCTGTGCAGTGCCACAAAAAAGAGTGTTGGATTGGTCCTGACCCTCCTCCTTTGCAAGGGTCAGGCCCACCTGACTAATATTAGACTAACAGTCTAAATCTATGACTATCCATACAACACACTGATCTACAATTTTCTTTTTTAGAATATAACTGAGAATGAAGAATATATCTATAGATCTGATGCCAGAGAAGTAGTTCAAGTTCCTGAAAGTCATAGTACAGATTACGAGTATAATGTTGTTCAACTGCCTAAGAGTTGTATTGCTTCAGATCTCACAGACTCCACATTAGTTCCTGGTTTTCCACCGTCTGCATATACGCAATCTTATACACAGCAATCTGACATCAGTTATTCTATGAACAGGCTGACTTGTGATGAGCATATTGCAGAAGAAGCCAGTTTTGAAAAAGATACTTTAATAGTACAGGAAATAGGTAAGTTTATATTGATGCAAATTTGCAATTAATGGTATTATTTTTAGATAAGCCAATATTCAAGTTAATATTAGATTATAACTTCATGATTGATCTGGTCAGGACAAGCTCTGTTCCTGTAGTCATGTGCACTGCCACTCTTGCTGGTCTGTCTCCTCAGAGAAAAGCAGCTTTACTCCAAGATTTTATGATAAATGCTGTAAGATTTAAGGATAGCGAATCACACTTGGCAGTTCAATATCGCGAAAATATTAGAAAAAGAAGTTCTAAAGAAGGTTTTTCATGTTTTAATTTCAATATTTTGGGAGAATTTCCATTCAGCAACCTCGTGTGGTTGTTGGGTACCAAACGTTCAAGTATCAGCCTCTGCTTTCTCTGTTGCCTCCTTCAAGCTCTTAAGCTGAGAAAAATTGATATCAACTTGTTAGAAACAAAAAACGATGCTAGAGAGGATGGATCAGTAGGCAGGAAGCATGGTATCTGGCTTTTTTATGAGGCAGCAAAAAGGCTGGAAGTTCTTAGGAGCCAACCAAAGAAATTGGGGCTCCTTGAACCTGGTGTTACTATGCTAAACGTCTTCAATATTGGTCCCAGCAAAGCAGCATACAACTTTCTCCCATTTCTTGGTCAGCATTGTCAGAGATCTCTGCCGTTGTTTTTTGTTCCAACTACAAAATCAACTGAGAGTGAAAGGGGAACTCAGGAAAGTCACACTTCTATCAGACATCTACTTAATGCATATGTACCCAAAGAAGAGGTTTCATATAGAAGATTATCTCAGGGTGAATCCGAGACTGGCTATGATATCAGGAAAGCTTTCACTGAAAGAGGGCTTAATAAGCCTGAGTTTCAGAAAATTGACCTCTCCGATATGCAGCAGACTAAGAGGAAGCTTGAGAAAATAGTTGTTAAAAATATGAGCAAATATGTTACTGGTCTACCTGTAAGGTGGGTTTTTCTACGCAGCCTTCTCCAGGCTTTAAACATATCACTTATGACTAGAAGTGATATCAGCGAATGGGCCACTTCATGTGGTGCTGGTATAGATCCCAGTGAAGTTGAGGCATTCCTAACCACCTTCACAAGCTTTGCCAGTCTCCTTTACATCCCCTCCTACACTGATATTGTCCTACTGGATATTGAGAGATTCACTGATTGCCTTGACAAGGTCTTTGATTGTGGCCGTTCTCTTGATGAAGCAAATTCCTATGGATTCATTACTGAAGCAGCCATTGATAAGTTAGCAAAAGATGAGAAGTTAGACCCTAAATTGTTCAAGTCACTCTTGAAGTCTTTCTGTTTCATCACTTCCATAAGCTTATCGAAAATTGAATGTTTGAAGTACTTTTCTCTTACTGAAGTGGCCTCATATTTCTACATTCCTAGTATGCGCCCTTCAGAACCAGCTAATGGTCACAGCCCTCATTCGCTTTATTTGCGTTGTTCACCAGGCATACTTGGAAACGTCCAAGTTCTTCTCGTTTGTGAGATACTTTCACACGACAATTGCTACATTGTCCCATACAAGCACATTAACACATCAATTATTAGAGTAAAACACAGTGAAGAACATGTCGATGTTAAAATGATCGATCACAAAGATGTTATAGAGCTGAGACTTGAGAATATAGATCCTTTGAGCACCAAAAAATACAAAGCAGTATGTTTGCTTATAGTTAAAGCATGTGCTATCGCTATGAAAAACCATAAGTATCAGTATCATTTTGAGTTACTTTGTGTTGACGATGCTAAAAACCACATCATATACCACTCAAAGAATAATTATTCGAAATGCCCGTCATGTGTTGATGCCATTAACAGTGATGCAATTCAAAAGCACTGGATGAATGCCATTATTAACTATGGGACAGCTACGTAACACTAAAAATAGCAAGAATTTTTTAAAAGCTGCATACTTAAACCTGACTTTTATAATTTTTGTAGTTGCTATGAATATGTAGTTTTGCTTTTTAAAATAATAGTGGTTTTCTTACAAAAGATGGTGATAGTCTGGCAAAATTTGCATAACAGCCTGCCTAAAGGAAAGAGCATAGGGGCACTGCATGCTTTGGGTCAAGCATGAGCACTACAAAATGTGTGTACATGTGTGTTTGTGAAATAGAAAATTATAACGGTTTGTTGCTCTCAATAACAAATCGGGATAAAGAAACTAACTAAATGAACAGTAAAATTAAAATTGAAAAAATGTCATAAAATCACGCTGACCTAGAGTTGTTCATATTTTTTTAGACACTGCGCTATCTTTTACTCTTTTTATTTTATTCTGCCGGTTTCTTTGTTGTTTCCCCAAAGTTTTCTTACGACTTGATGATACTGATGTATCAATGAAATCATAATCATACTGCGAATAAGCAGCACCTATGGAAACAATAATAATAATGATTGAAGCTATTATTGTCACAAATATCAGGAGCGTATCTAGAAATTGGAAAAGGGGGTGCTGAGAGCATGTGAAGCGTGCTGCGATTTTGGCCACACCCCTTTTACGGCGGTAAAACAGCGTTTTCTTGCATTGTTGTGAATTACTTTTTACGGGTGGGGTCAAGATAATTTCAAGCATACTCAAGCATACTGGCACTTTTAATTGCTCTTTAAGGCACTGGAAACTGCTGAAATCATGATCAGGGGGCTAGATAACTTAATAGGCTTGGTAGTAATGCAAGAGCCCTGGACTTAAGTAATGTTTTCTGAGCCAAGCCATGAGGGGGGTGCTCAAGCCCCCCTCAGCCCTAGTCCAGGCTACCTCACCCCCCCCTTTGGATACGCCACTGACTATAGTAACTAGTTGTGCATTACTGCTAACATAATGTGAATAGATTACCTCTTTTCTTTCTTTTGTTATCATGATTATAATGACCAGAATAGTAATAATAGTCACCTGAATAATAATCACCAGAATAATAATAATCACCAGAACTAGAAAGAGGTCTAGTAGGGGTTGCAGAAGAAGGCGCTGTTAAAAATTAAAGTAAATTTATTTAAATTATAAATTATGGTACATACTTTCCTGACTTTCCTCACATCCATCACCAGAGTAGCCATCAGGACACCTGCAGTAATGTACTGGGAGACACTGTCCATCATTAGAGCAACCAGACCCTCTATTGCAGGCTGACCCTGTAATTAACACAAATATCAATTTTATACATGTACATTATTAATACTCTTTTGCTTTATAGAAAGTTTGAGCTTAAGCTGCTTCTGAGCTCAAAATTTTTGAGCTACAAGCACTCTCACTATTTAAAACTGCATGTGAATAATGAATAGTTTGTCAATTGTCACTGCAAGATGCTTTGCTGAGGCTTATGCCATACTGTGTACACTGTCTCTACCATCATTGTTACACATTATGCTCACTACTCTCTACAGTACTAGTAGCATGAAGTATATTGTAAGACTGGCAGCTGCTTCTACTGAGCCAGCTCCATTGTCTGCCACTACTTTATATTGACCATTATCTTCAAACTGAGGACCCAATATAATCAATGACCCAGTACTGGTCAAATACATCCTAGAACAATTAAAAAATATGTAATAATATGAAAATAAAACATATAGTAATAATAATAATAAAGAATTTAATCCAAGTATCCATTGTATTATTACAATCAATGTAATATTAGATTAGTGTACTTATCAAATTTGATTTACTTTGTGGTATTTTTGAAGTCAATTTCATTTGAGTTGTGATACCATTTCAGTACTGGTGGTGAGTTCCCTCTTGCTGCTGCTTCAAAAACAACATAAGATGGAGGATCACGAGCAACCACACTAGTAGGACTCTTCTCAATCACAGGAGGCTCTGATTATAATTATTAGTTATAATTAAAAATATTTTAATAATTACCTCCAATTTGAATTTGACGAATCACAGAGCTAGTGACATTATCAAGTGTAGCTGTACACACATATATTCCTTGATCAGCAGCTGCAATGTCCTTTAATACTAGCAGTCCTTCAGTGTCAGTGTTGCCACAATTATCAACACTTTTATTAGTACAGAATGAAGAATGATCCTCCTCCAGTGCCCTATTCAGTATATTAATATACTACACACAAGAGCTTAGAGTCTGCATGTACTGCAATAATAAACTAATTTGCTTCAAAGTTCGGCCCAAAAGCGTGAATTATATAGTAAAGAATAATCATTTTAACATGAAACAACTCCAAACATTAGTCACAATGTTTTTGTGAATTTCATGAATTTTTAAAATTGCTCAAAAATTAGGCCAAAGACTCTGTAAAACAAAGGCCTGTACAGGGTTGTTGGCCAAATTTCATCAAAAATGACTAGGAGAGCGTTTTTTGTTTTAATAATTTTTCTAATGCATGTATATGATTTAATGTTGCATAAAAAATTTGAGCTGACTCTGATCAAAATTAGATTTTTTATGAATTTTTAAAGTTACTCAAAAATGGGGCCAAAGTCCCTGTACTATATAGTACAGGGTCGTTGGCCAAATTTTGTCAAAAATTACAAGTTAAGAAATCTCCATTTTTATTACATTTTCTGATGTATATACATGTATTTATGTTGTGTAGAAAGTTTGAGCTGATTCCGATCAAAATTGGATTTTTTACGAATTTTTAAAGTTACTCAAAAATGGGGCCAAAGGTGATTTTTTGACAAAAATCCTAATTTCTATTACAGTCACTATTGTAAGTTTAGTGTGTATATCTCACTGTTCAGATCCTTTAACAATTCTTTTCCAAGTTACATCAACATTTTGATTTGCTTTACACTGCAGCTCAAGACAGGCACCACTCTGCACATAATTAACCTCTGAAGATGGAGTCACTGATACCTTTAATCCCTTCGCTAAAAAGCAACAATACTGAGTAAAAATGCATATTAACACTTTACTATATATTATACCATGTTTACCATTATACGGGTTTATTTTTGCGGTGAAATATTTTTGTGAATTTTACGGTTTCTTGCTCAGTCAAAAAAATTTCAAACACAAAATTCTGCATTTTCATTGACATATGGTGCAGTTTGAAAGGCAAAAATCAATTCCACGAAATCTTAGAAATGCAAGATTTGCAAAAAATTTTACCGCAAAAATAAGCTGGTATATATATGGTATTTTATTTTTTCATCAAGTGCTTACTGCAATTAGTTATGTCCACACTCCTTAGTCTTTGACCTCTGACCTCAATAGGATAGCCACATAGGACATACTCATAGTAAGGACGATTGGATCTCAAGTATTCTTGAAGCCAAAGGGCAGAACAATCACACACTATCATGTTGTCTTGTGTTATGTTTGTCCGAAAATCATTCCATTGCCTATAGCATGGAAATAAATAAAGGTACTAAAATTACAGTAAATATACATTAAATAATAATGTACAGATGCTTACTGACTCTTGTTAGTCTTTTCAAGTGGTCCCTCAGCAATCAAACTGATTTGTTTTTATACAAAGCTCTGTATAGCAAGTACATATATATAGTAGATCTTATATGAGATAGCTGTTTTATGATTCTATCAATAACTTACAGCTGAGCAAGATGTCTTAAATTAAGAAAAGGAAATGTTTCAATTCTTTCCATCCATTATCAGCTAGGCCTAATAAAAGATTAGTCAAAAGTTAAAAAGGGGAGGAGTCAAGACAAGAGTCCAATCCTTGACTCCTTCAAGTTATCTATAAATCAGCCCACACCACTCGAGCTCTACCAGATTTTTTTATAACTGTCTTATCTTTGGAGTTCGGACAAATGAATAGCATGAGGTTGCCTTTTTATTTTTATATTTTACTATACTAGTTTTTTTCTTTTGTAGGACATCAAAGACCGAACCTGTGCCAGGCGAAGTTAGTGACCCTCGAGATGACCGTGTAAGTCATCCTCGAAGTCATCTTGACTTTCCGTACCAACAACTCCCAGTTCAAGTCCGTGCTGCCAAAAGAGGCGGCAGTCAGACTGTTATGGGTTCACAATTTTACAGCTACCAAAGGAAGAGCTATTTTGGCGATGTTGTCGAAGACATAGTCACTTCACTTGTCATACCAGATACTAGAAGTATGCAGATCTATCATAAGCTATCTGTAGTTATGGTTTGACTTTGACTTGAGTGCTTATTGCCCATACCTAAATTAATCATACACTAGGCTAGCAATCTTTATGGTTTTTGTGTCACGACTGAAACTTTGTTGAAAGCACTGAACTTTGTGGCTACTTTGATGTGCTATCATCAACTCTGTTGTTGCCTGAAATAGAACAGAGTTGCCATAAGATCAAAGTAACCACAAAGTTGAATAGTGGTTGGTGGGCTTTAGACGGTTGGCCATCTAGCTGGCAATGACTGAGTGTTTACTTTTCTTAGCATTTTTCTGTCAATCAATAATTAAATTACACACGATTGATGACATCATATTGGTCATACATGGTAGCAGAACAGATCAATGTATCTCTCTCCACCTAAAAAAATAATGCTTGGGTTTTGATGGCTTAACTGTCTGCTAGTGGTTAGTATGGTTCAAGTTCCAGCTTTGTGTTTTGAGCCTCTCCTTGAGATTCATATTGTTCAGCTTTCATGACAACCATATGTGATATTGGTCAGGCAGAAATTCCTACCTGATGCAAAAACGAATGCAGTGTTACCAGACAGTTTTCTCCTAACTGTTTAGTGACACGAGATTACATTTGTGGTTACTTCATAGATATTAGAGTAAATGAAAGAGATTGGAAACGGGGCGTAGCAACAGGAAATGCTAGTTGGGTTACCACGTGACAACCATCTGTCCTCCATTCATGAAGCTGTCCTGCAAGGAATTCGAAGGAAACTTGTGTCACTCCAGGACAACGCTTGCTTATGATCTATAGCCTATTGCACATATCATTTTTAGAGCTACCTACAGCAAGTTTTTTGTCTCTCTAAAGCTATGCTGCAATCAGTTATAGGTACAGCAAAATCAACTATTTTTGGTACACTTTAGCTCTTGTAACAAACTCATACTTCACAGATTCTAACTCTAACCTGTATAATTACTTTGGAAAGTGTAAGGCCTTTCATATGATTATAATGGTTTCCAGTTTTACTTTAGCATGTTTTGAGAAAAGGGAGAATAATGAAATAAATGGCATTTTAAGAAGGAAAATGGGCTGTATCATTAAAACTATAACATTTTCTGTACAATAGATAACAGTAGTGTTGAGAGGAAACATTAGGCTTCTTGATGCATCAGTTTCACTTAAATGAGAACAGTCCTTTGCCAGATATTGCTCCTGAAAGAAGAAAAAGTAGCATGAAAATAGTGACAAAATCCCAACCCGCCTCTGTTTGCTTAGTAACAATACAAATAAGTAGAGGTTGGGCTACGCCCACGCACCCATTTCCAATCCCTTTCATTTACTCTAATATCTATGGTTACTTTGATCTTTAGTCTTGCCACGCCCCTTCACTCATGGCAAGACTGTTCGATCTTGTACAAGCAACATGTTGCCAAGAATATAAAATATTCTTGGCAACAATTAAAGGCCTTTTCACACTGACCAAAGTAATGTGCATTGATGTGCATTAATTGTGTTCACACTAGAGTGGTTTCAAATTGATGCGCATCAATGAGCATCACTCTCACTTCACCTCCAGAGGTGGATTGATGTGAAGTGATGTGCTTCGATCAGTGTAAACCAATGGCAACAAGAACACAAAATCATACATAATCCAGCTGCTAGTGTGAACAAGATCAACAAAGTGCATCAAAGCGCTTTGAAAACTGTGCCAGTGTGAAAAAGCTTTAAGTTGCAAGGTAACGTTATAGCAACGTGTTGCCTATTCTAGTGTATGAAGGGCTTAATGGCAGCATAAATTAGGGATAGTATGTGTAAGCCACACTTTTAGTGGGCCCAGCCATCCTATAATCATATTACTAGTAGTCTAGTCTAGTGGCATTATATTTATGGGCCCAATGTCCCCTCCCAGCAAAATAGGCAAGGCATGAGACTATTAAAATACTGTATATCACAAACTTTTTGATGGTGTAAATTTCACAAATTTTGCGATTTTTTGAAGAATTGTGAAAATTACTTCCGCCAAAATCAAAATTTCAAGGGCACAAGATGGTGGATGGTATAAATTCACAAAAATTAAATCCGCAAAATAGATTTATAGGCAAATTTGCGAAATTTACAGCCCTTAAAAATATTGCGCTATACGGTAGCAAAAGAATTATATCCTTCTTTAAATTTATGTAGCCATTACTCACCAAGAGTTTTGGAACATCATTCTTCATCAGAAAATTCCAGTGACTACATGTCTACTAGCAGTAATGGGTCTACCTAGCACAGGAAAGACAACTCTCATTAATGAGATGCTCAGCAAATTTATAAAATTGAAACCGGAAGCAAAATGGAGCTTTGAGGAATACATGGGGAGGACAAGGAATGACCGGTGTCTTTCAATCTACGAGTTGTGTGTGCTTGGTGGTTTACCACATGATAAGTACGCATGGTCCTTTGCCACTAATCGTTTTGGTGCCATTTATTCCATCATTTGCTCTCTTTTACGTCAAGATCCTTCAATTGCTAGTGCTAATTTTGAGCCTACCGAGCAAGGCCCAAAATTTTTTTATGATGAGCATGTTCAATGGCTAATGGATCAAGTCAGTAAGCACTTGAAAAATATAGAAAATGAACGAAGCAAGCTGACCCTCATTCAAGATGGCCTCTCGCTTATTAATGTAATGGATGTTGGTGTCAATAAAGCTCTTTACGATTTTCTGTCTATTGTATTGCTCTCTTGCCACAAACACTTTCGTCTTGCTTTCTTTTCGTTGAATAGAGATGCACCTAACCTTCATAAGAAACCTGACCTACCTCATGATCGTTATGGAGAAAGAAAAGATGATGTATTAGTTATGAGACACAGGTCACGTTTAACATACCTCCTCCATTTTGCTACCCTTGGATATAAAGATGAGACTGACGTTAATAACACAGTTATAGTTGCTACAAATATTTGCACTGAAGAATCAGATGTCTCTGAGAAAGATACTTTCGAAAATGCTAAAAAAGCAATACTGGAAGAAGCAAAAAAGCAACATGTGGATAAGTTCATTAATGAAGTGCAACTTCTCAACCTGGATGCTGACTCTGGCACAATGAAGAATCTAGGACAGACTCTTCAAGATATCATCAAGAATATGAAGCAGTATAAAGTTGAACTTCCACTGTGCTGGATAATATTGCGAAGTCTCATTTCTTCTTTAACAGCTCTACATCAAGGCCAATCCAACCTGATGATTATGCATAAAGATTTTATTATCAAAGAAGCTTGGAACTTGGAAATGAAACCCGACGATGTGGAAGATTTTCTAACCACTTTCACTGATTTTGGCAGCATTTTATATATGCCTCAATTTGAGTCTCTTAGAAATATTGTCATTGTTGACATTTTCGAGTTTACACAATGTCTAAATGAGCTTTTCTATCCAACTAAGGAAAGAGAATATGCTGCACTTCTACTGAAATATGGAATTATATCGCATAATGATATTAAAAGTATAGTTCATTTTCAAGTTATAGATGATTTTATGGAGATTCTTTCTTCATTTGCAATGGTAACTGAAATCAGTACTGGCAAATCAGTTATTGTGGAAGGAAAATCTCTTCAACCTGAGCCACGCTATTACTATTTGCCATCAGCACGAATTGGCAGTTTGTACACTCTTCCAACCAATAAAGATTACGCTTTACTTGAAGTAAAAAGTGTTACCTTTCCTGCTAACCTACAAGCCTGTATCGGTCATGGCATAATGGCAAAAAGTGAAGATGTTGTTTTGGTTGCCATGGAGCATTCCAATGTTTCACGGTTTCGATTCCAATCTGAAGGCTGTCCTCACATTATAATTGACATGATTTATGAAGGACAGAAATCAAAAATAGTAATAATGAGTTCTATTGATGATCTAACATATGATGCCACAGTTGATGCATGTAGCAAATTTTTACATGCTTTTTGTGACTGTTTGTTGAGAAAAGCCAACACATTACGTAACCTTGAACGTGCATTTGCCGTTCCATGTTGTGTTCCTAGTAAGGAGCCTCATCTTCTTTATTGTGATCAGGATTTTGACCTCTGTGATGAATGCATGCAAGCAACTCCACAAAGGAACTTCCGCTCATGTTGGAGAGATGCAGTAAAAAAAGTAATAAAAGCTACATAGACAAACTTTAAGTTGTTCATTTTTCTAAATTGAAACTCTGCATTATTATTTTTGTAGTGTCGGCACTTAAATGAAGAAAAAGCATCTGGTATGAAAAGTGAGTAACTAATGGTCAGTGGTGTTGAATTATTTATTGTGTCTTAAACAGATCCCGCTATTGAGACATCTGAGGAAACTGTCAATATAAGTGAAACAGATATAATTGATCTTGCTCAAGAATTAGGCATAAGTGATACTTCTGTAGTCATTAAAGATAAACAAAAAGCAATCATGAACATTGTATCAATGTGGAACAAAAAGAGAAAGGGAAGTCAATAAATTTTATGTGAGATCAGTAATCTACTGACATACATGCATGTACATACTCACACAGCTTTTAAGATTTATTTTTTCAAGTGTATTAGGAATTAATTATTTTTTGAATAAATATAATTATTAATTACACAATGTACCGCTATAGTTATGCTGAGTCATTTTCTTTGCAAATTTTACTTTGTAGTTTTTAAAATCTTGTTTTTGTTTCTTGACTGTTTGTTTAAAGTTTTTTTACGACTTTAATAATAATTATTATTATGCATTTATAACAAAATTTTAACAGTATTATTATTAATGGTAACCATTAAAGTTATTATTTCAAAAAATATCAAATAAAAATTAACACTTAAGAATTTGGTATCCTTTTGTCACTAAGTTAATGATCTTTTATATTTTCTTCCTGAGCTCTGCATTGTTTCTTATTCTTTTTATTATATTTTGCTTGATTTTTTGCTGCTTGCCCAAAGTTTTCTTACGACTTGACGATACTGACATGTCAGTAAAATCATAATCATACTGTGAATAAGCAACACCTATGAAAAAATAATAATGTGATTGAAGCTATTATTGTCACAGCTATAGTAACTAGATTTGCATTACTGTTAATACATAATGTGAATGAATTACCTCTTTTCTTTCTTTTATAATCATTATCACCAGAATAGTAATAATCACCAGAATAGTAATAATCACCAGAATAATAATAATCACCGGAACTAGGAAGAGGTGTAGTAGGGGTTGTAGAAGGAGGTGCTGCTAAAGAAAAGTAAAATAAATTTATTCAAATTATAAATAACGTACTTTCCTGGCTTTCCTCGCATCCATCACCAGAATATCCATCAGGACACCTGCAGTAATGTACTGGGAGACACTGTCCATCATTAGAACAACCAGACCCTCTATTGCAGGCTGACCCTGTAATTAACACAAACATTAATTATACAAATGTACATATTAATACTCTTTTGCTTTATAGAAAGTTTGAGCTTAAGCTGCTTCTGAACTCAATTTTTGAGCTATGAGCACTCTCACTATTTAAAACTGCATGTGAAAAATGTAATAGCTTGTCATTTGTCACTGCAAGATGCTTTGCTGAGGCTTGTGCCCTACTGTGTATACTGTCTCTACCATCATTGTTACACATTATGCTCACTACTCTCTACAGTACTAGTAGCACTTACTGAAGTATATTGTAAGACTGGCAGCTGCTTCTACTGATCCTGCTCCATTGTCTGCCACTACTTTATATTGACCATTATCCTCAAACTGAGGACCTAATATTATCAATGACCCATTACTGGTCAAATACATCCTATAATAATAATAATGATTAAAAAACATGTAATATTATGAAAATAAAACATATAGTAACAATAATAATAAAGAATTTAATCCAAGTATTCATTGTATTAATACAATCAATGTAAAATTAGATTAGTGTACTTATTAATTTTGATTTACTTTGTGGTATTTTTGAAGTCAATTTCATTTGAGTTGTGATACCACTTCAGTACTGGTGGTGGGTTCCCTCTTGCTGCTGCTTCAAAAATAACGTAAGATGGAGGATCACGAGCAACCACACTAATAGGACTCTTCTCAATCACAGGAGGCTCTGATTATCATTATTAATTATAATAAAAAATATTTTAATAATCACCTCCAATTTGAATTTGTCGAATTACAGAGCTAGTGACATTTTCCAGTGTAGCTGTACACACGTATATCCCTTGATCAGCAGCTGCAATGTCCTTTAATACTAGCAGTCCTTCAGTGTCAGTGTTTCCACAATTATCAACACTTTTATTAGTACAGAATGAAGAGTGATCCTCCTCCAGTGCCCTATTGAGTAAATTAATATACTACACACAAGAACTTAGAGTCTGCATATACTGCAATAATAAACTAATTTGCTGCAAAGTTGGGCCGAAGAGTACGAATTATTTAGTAAAGAATAATCATTTTAACATGAAAAAACTCCAAACATTAGTCACAATGTTTTTGTGAATTTTATAAATCTTTAAAATTGCTCAAAAATTAGGCCAACAACTCTGTACAACAAAGGCCTGTACAGGGTTGTTGGCCAAATTTTGGCAAAAATGACTAGGAGAGCATTTTTTGTTTTAATAATTTTTTCTAATGCAAGTACATGATTTGATGTTGCATAAAAAATTTGAGCTGACTTTGATCAAAATTAGATTTAAAAAAAATTTTTAAGTTACTCAAAAACGGGGCCAAAGTCCCTGTACTATAGTACAGGGTCGTTAGCCAAATTTTGGCCAAAATGACAAGTTGAGAAATCTCCATTTTTATCACATTTTCTGATGTATATACATGTACTTATGTTGTGTAGAAAGTTTGAGCTGATTCCAATCAAAATTGGATTTTTTACGAAATTTTAAAGTTACTTAAAAACGGGGCCAAAGTCCCTGTACTATAGATGACATACGCGGATTTTCAGGGGGATTTGGCGCGAGAAGGGCCGATAGATTTAAAAAGATCGATATTAATAGGAAGCTCATTGTATTTGGTTTTATTTATATTGATTTGTCCGAATTTTTTGTTGCAGGCAACGTATGATGCGGCCGTAGGGCTTTGGGTTCACGTATAAAACCCCCACCGGAATTAGAAATTGTGGTAGGGTGGGGTTCGTTTAATATAGTACAGGGTTGTTGATCAAATTTCATTAAAAATGACAAGTTGAGATATCTCCATTTTTATTACATTTTTTGATGCATATACATGTACTTATGTTGTGTAGAAAGTTTGAGCTGATTCCAATCAAAATTGGATTTTTTAATGAATTTTTAAAGTTACTCAGGGGCCAAAGTCCCTGTATTATAATACAGGGTCATTAGCCAAATTTTGGCAAAAATGACAAGTTGAGAAATCTCCATTTTTATCACATTTTCTGATGTATATACATGTACTTATGTTGTGTAGAAAGTTTGAGCTGATTCCAATCAAAATTGTATTTTTTAATGAACTTTTAAAGTTACTCAAAAATGAGTTCAAAGGTGATTTTTTTTGACAAAAACCCTACTTTCTATTACAGTCACTATTGTAGGTTTAGTGTGTATATCTCACTGTTCAGATCCTTTAACAATTCTTTTCCAAGTTACATCAACATTTTGATTTGCTTTACACTGCAGCTCAAGACAGGCACCACTCTGCACATAATTAACCTCTGAAGATGGAGTCACTGATACCTTCAATCCCTTAGCTAAAAAGGAAAAGTACTAATAATGCATTTTAACACTTTAGTAAATATTATACAATTTATTTTTAAAATAAATATTATACTATATTTACTTTTAAATAAAATTATACCATATTAATTTATTACCGAAGTGCTTACTGCAATTAGCTATATCCACACTCCTTAGTCTTTGACCTCTGACCTCAATAGGATAGCCACATAGGACAGTCTCATAGTAAGGACGATTGGATCTTAAGTATTCTTGAAGCCAAAGGGCAGAACAGTCACACACTATCATATTGTCTTGTGTTATATTTGTCCGAAAATCATTCCATTGCCTATAGCATGCAAAACAATAAAGCTGCTAAAATTACTACAGTAAATACAATAATAATAATAAACAACAACAACAACAACAATAATAATAATAATATAATAGGCTAAGTTAGAAAGGAAAAAGAAGAGAGAGAGAAGAAATAAAGACAATTATTCAGAAATGAATACACTTACAAGTAATAGATCCTATTAGTATTTTCAAGTGATCCCTCGGCAATGAAACTGATTTTGTTTTTATACAAAGCCCTGCATTATAAGTAATATATTATGAGATAATTGTTTTATGATTTTATCAATTACTCACAGCTGAGCAAGATATCTTAGATTACGAAAAGGAAATGTTTCTATTCTTTCCAGCCTATTTGAGATCAGCAAGCTAGCAAATTAATGAAAAACTAAATAAAATTATAATGATTAATTATCATGACTCACAGAAAAGTAAGTCTTGGCGTGTACTGGAATACATCTTTCGGTAGATATGAGATACGATTGTCAGACAATTGTCTGGAGGTTTAATAGAAATTATCATAATTATTATCTTCGTTCCTTACAGTAACTGAAGATAGTTTAATCCAGCAAAGGCTTTCTCATTTAAGCACTCAATTCTATTATCCTGTAGCCATCTTGATATTAATTAGTATGAATAAAACAAATGACAAAGTAAAATATTTAACTCACAATCTTCTCAAGTTTACTGCTTGTCTAAAAGCATTTCCAGGTATTGATGTAATCAAATTATCATACATGATCCTACAAACACTTTACATTAAAACTGAAGGTTCACAATCAATAACAAAGACAAAAAATTATTGTTGATGATATGATGAAAAGCTAATAAATGTGCTGGTATGTATAAATATATGGCTCACAGTTGTTGCATATTAAAAAGCCCATGAAAAGTTTTCTCTGTGATACTTTGCAACCGATTAGTTCGAAGATAACTGCTCATAATAAATAGCATTATCATTTTTGATAGTTTTTATAAAGTCTTACAGGAATACGATTGATCTTAGCTCAGAGAATGCACGATCTTCAACTACTTCAATTAAATTATTTGACAGCACTAGTCTCTGTAATCTGGTCAATGGTGAGAATACATCACTTGAAATCCTTCTGATTCGATTGCTGTCTAAATACCTAATGCATAAAAAGATCATGTAATGAGTGCTACTTGTTTTAATGTTATACTACATACAATGAAGTGAGGGAAGGAGTGTGTATAAAGACATCATGAGACAAGGTCCTTATCTGATTGGTTCTGAGAACACTATTATAGTATAATATATACATCAGTAAATAAGTGTTGTAGTTATTATGTCAGTGCCTTACAGAGTTCGTAGGCTATTCAAACCAGCTAGGCTAGCATTAGTCAGCTCAATGATATTATTGCTACTAAAATATCTGTGGAGTGTTAAAATAACACAATAAAGTGTTATGAAGTTTATGCATACAAAAGGGTAAGCTTGCTCAGGTGCTGAAAGGGTGAGTCAGACAAGTCTCTTATACCATTTCCATAAAGATAGCTATAGGAGAAAAATAAAATTTTATCACAAAATTTTTACAAGGGAGCTTGAGTAATGTATGCAATACAACTTACAGTCTTTGAAGATTGGGTAAATTTGCAAACAATTGAGGATTGAGACTAGTCAAACGATTATTATGAAGCGCACTAATAGAAACATCTTCATAATAGAAAAAAGTATAGTTAAGCCTATAACTTACAGCACAATGAGAGAAATCAAATCATCAAACACTCCAACAGGTAGACTTGATATCGAATTGGAATACAATAGCCTATATGACAGAATTAATAGCCACTATTACATACAATTCAATTGGCAAATAAATTTGCTAGAAAAATTGTAAATCTGTTTCTTAGTACACCATGAGGCATGAAAAAGATGCTTAGCACCTTGAGGTTGAATAAGATTCTTAAAAAATAGCATATTTTACACGTCTATTGTTCATAATAGTGTGACAATTTTTAACAATGATTGCTTACAATGATTTCAAGCCAATCAGTCCCATAAAGACATTAGGTTTAAGTGTAGTTAATCTGTTTCCATCAAGGGACCTGGAGAGAGAGTGATATAACACATATATCACATGCATGCAATATAAACTGACAGTAATTCCAATGAGGTTAGATCAGAGAATGCATATTCCTCAATATCATCAATGAGATTGTCGTAAAGAAACCTATTATTATATTTATATGCATGATGTATTATTAATAATACATTATAATTAATTTACAATCTCTCTAGGTTTGGGAGTCCATTGAAATCATCGACAGAGATATTTTGTATCAAATTAAAACTAACATTGCTAAAAAAAAAAAGCAAAAAAATAATTATTTTCACTAGTTTATTTTGCCTTACAGAATTATCACATCAGGTCTTTCACAGTGTATTAGTCCAGGAGGGATTGCAGTAAGACCTTTTTCAGTGCAATGGATGGAGCCCTCTGTATCACAGTTACAACTAGCTGGACAAGAGTTGCAGTCTATTGTAGTATTAAAGCTAGAGCTATTGCCATCACTTGAAGCATACAATCCAATGACCAGGAAAACAAGTATAAGAGAGATAGCAGGTTTTATCATCATAATCAAAAATAAAGTAAAACAAACTATAAAATGAATGGTGAGGCAAAAAATATCATGGATGCGCGCGCAGCTCCAGTGCACGGATGTGGCTGCTGCGTGGGCGTTGATTTTGATGCCGTGATTGTGATTGATCTTAACGCAGCCCTGATTTGATAGGGGGCGCAGCTACTAGCTTTGCAGAACATTTCCTGCTCGGATTGCTGTCAGCCGGATCAGGACTGTAAAGAATAGGAGACCGACTTGGAGTGGAAGGAAATCCAGGTGAGAGATATTTTGAGTCAAGCACCTGTTTAACATCTGCATTGGTGCCAAATTTGCCAATTCTGACCAGACAGACCACAAACTCAAAGACCACTTGCTTTTGTATGCATTTATGCATGTATTGAATCATGTCTGACCCTCGGGGTGGTTAAATTAACATGAGCTGTTGAGAATTTTAAACATTCAAGTGATATTGAAGCAGCAAGTCATTCGTGGGTTTTCTATATACAAACATTACTACATTTTCATGATCTACATGTAAATGATATAAGTTTTAAAGTGATGAATCGTCTACATGTTACAATGATAACGTACATTCTAACCGTAAATGCTTGTGCTTTATTCTGTAATAGTACAAGCAAGAACAAAGCCAGCTTGTTTATTACAACCCCAAGCTAGCACTAGAATGAATAGTTGATTATAGTTTGTTGATATTTTGTTATGTTTGATTGTTTTGGTGCATGAATGCATGCCATGGCCCTGATTATAATAAGTCCAGTTATATAATAAAGGAAAGAGGTAGGCTTTGCTGTCATTAAATTGCATTCCACAATTCCCTAAAAGGGTTCGTGACCTTTGCAATGTGTATTAGCTATAAACATTGGCCAGGCTCCGTATTTCTTTTATTATAGTATTGTATACATAACTTTCTCTCTGTCTCTCTCTCTCCTCTCCTCTTTCTCTCTCTCTCTCTGTCTCTCTCTCTCCTCTCTCTCTCTCTCCCTCCCTTAGACAACATGAAGCTCATTGCAGTAGTTTTATTAGTATCAATTGTTGGAGCAATGGCTCAAAACGTAAGCACTATGCAGTAATAATGACAAAACTCACTGATATATTGCTTTAGCCTAACTTGACTGATGTTCAGGATCGTTTTGAATCATCTATAGCCATGCAATCAAGACAAAACCATTTCTTTGTAAGATAATAAAATTACAGTATAATTTATCATACTCAATAAGTACATATAACTACCAATGAATCTTACAAAGAATGCAAATGAAATTTGATTATCACTTTTTATAGTGTCTAGAAAGAACAACAACTGATATGGGTATGGTAGAATACACCAGTTTTGAGCAGGACAGTTCGGCTGTATGGACACTCTATGTCCAGATGCCACTCTTGGGCTATCTTGATGTTAGCAGGAAGGGAGCACTCATGGATATAGTTTCAACACTTGCTAGTATCAACTCAGACAATCTGTGCATTGGTACTTATGAGGTGACTGATATTTCTACATTCAGGGAAAGGTGATTATAATAAAATTATAAGTCATATTCCATTTTCAGTTTTAAGATTTGTGCACGTCTGAGTCATTTCTAATTTTTTAAATTTTTTTCTTCTATAGTATTCTAATTCACATTTATGGTGATAGCAATCGACTGGCTGTCAATGATATTGTCAATAACTTTGATGCTAGAGTTCGAGCTGCTTTAAACAATGCTAACGATATGAGTGTGATTAATTATCCCTCTCAGGCTGGCATAATTACGTTCAATTTGACTGCTTCTTCTCGGTTTGAGAATCCACTTTATGCTGGTGATCAATCCAGTGATGGAGCAGTTCCTATTAATCTTGCTGTATACCTTGGAAGCTATGCAGGTATGACTGTAAAGAAGATGGATTAAGCTTCACTCTTATTCTTTCTCTTTTATTTTTAGGTAACTTGACTTTTGGTACACCAGTCAACAATGTCTCCTCTTCGTTTGGAAGCAACACCATCAATACTCTTGCTAGCAATCCTAATCCAATCAACTATGGTCTTGAAGCAGGTGATATAGCTTTTGCTGTCATTGGGTCTATCCTCCTGACGGTGGTAATGTTCCTGATAATTCTGGGATACTTTATTCACCCCTTCTTCCTTGCATAATCAAGCAAGTGAGTATAGTGTCCCATTTCTTATATTGAATGTATTTCTATTTTAGATCAGCCAAAGAGTATTTTATAATTAGTTGCTGCTTGAAAGCAAATAAACTCGTATATCTTTTTAATAGATGTTAACCTGAATGTTATTGATTTTAAATCTTTTTTTTTATTTCTTTCTTTCTCTCTCTTGTTTTTTCTCTCTTTGTTTCTCAGTTTGTATTTTTGTGGTAGCTATTTTACAATGATGTAAAAAATAAATTTAATATAATAATAAATAAATAGTGTAGCTATTAAATTCATTTCTATTATGCAGCTAAGAGACTATTGAAGCTGAAGGTAAATCCCAAAATGAGCCTGTTATAAGTATAGGAAAAACAAAGTCAATTGATAGCTGCTATTTATACAGTTTACTTTGCTCCCTCTTGTTCTAAGTAATGTTTGTAGAGGCTCTTTACTTCTGCGGCCTGTCTCTTGGTCAACACAGATCATCTGACATCTACTGCACCCACCAACCACCTGCAGTATAAACAAATAATTGTAGACCAAGATTGAAAATAGATTACAATTTTATATTAACGGCAATAACATAATGGTCAAATGCAATGATATTGTTATGAAATTGCACGAATTGAAAATGCTAAAACAACAGGAACTAGCATACATTCACTGAAGCTTTTAAATTACCGTATAGCCGCTTAATTTTGAGCGTACAATTTTCGCTGTTTTCGCGGATTTTCCGTATCCACGAAAGTTAATTCCGTAAAACTATTCAAATCGCCCATAAACACCTGTGCTTTAAAATATGAACCGTGAAAGTTAATTCGCAAAAAAGACTTGTGGCCTGATTCGTGAAAGTTTATTACCTCAAAACTTTGTGGCTATACGGTAGTTTTTCAAATGAGTGATTCCTTAAATGGGCCATAGTGCATCCAAGAATTATAAGACGATTACCAGCAATTGTAATTACTATAAATAATACTTCATTGCATGACATAGTGACTGTTTCTATAAAAGGAATGGGTGGTATTGCATTACTTTAAATGTTGTATTCCCAATTGATAACAATTCCCAATCGTCTTCATGAAATGGACTAGGATCACCATTGCTCTTTACCACTAGATTGGGTCTGAATCTTAACATTAGTGACTCTAATGAGAGCTAATGAGTGATGGAGAAGAGAAATAGAAGAGAGAGGGAGAAGGGGGATATTTAAAGGTAGAGTAGAATAGTATTATTATTGATATATAATTATTAGTTCAAATACCTCTTTACAGTTTAATTGAGCATAAAGATGACTTAGACTTGATTGAGATAGTAATAAAAACTGTCCTTCATTGGAAAGGGACAACTGACCACTTCCACTATCTCCTATATAAACCAGTATAAATTAATAAATAGTGATTGCTGTCCTACCTTTGTTTCTCTTGGCCTCTCTGTGATGGTTAGGATTCATTTGCACTAGTCTACAGTCTCTCTCCAATGCTTTATTGATCCACGCAGCAGCTTCATCCCCTGCATCTACCCCTTGGACTCTAGAGGAGACACTTTGTAACAACAAGGCATTGAAAATGAAACTTGCAATAGCTTTAATTATGAAGTTTTAACATAGCAAAACTATACATATCTGATTATTTCAAATTAGCAAATTTTTCATAAAAAGCATGAGCTATAGCTAGCCCATGGTTTTTCCAAAAATGGCTTTGAAATTATCCCAAATTTTATTACACTTTCTAATACATATTGATGTCCTTATGCTATGTAGAAAGTTTGAGCTGATTCCAACTCCAATTTTTAAAGTTATGAACATCCAAAGTATACATAATATCAGTTGTATTGATCAACATACTTGTCTCCACACACATTTGCTTTGCATTCCACATCAGGACTGAAAGCCTCAATTGATGAAACAGGAAGAACTTGCAATGGAGGCAATGAGACAAGACCTTTTAAAAATAAAAATAATAGAGTATATGTGTATTAGTAAATGCTGTTACTGGATTTTAGTGTGAGGGCTCCAGTCTCAATATCAATGGAAGGTAGAATGAGAGCAAGCCTTGGCTCTTGTTTCTGACTCAGACAAGCTCTCCTCTCATTAAGAATCATCCACTCTCTGTCCCACAGCAAACCTTTATCACCAACACACCATTCGTCCACCTAACAAGTGACATAAATGTATACATAGATGTACATGTACATACATAATGTGACAATAATAATATACGCATTATATACATATGCATAACACAATGATAATATATGTACATCGATTGCTGAAATTTTAATAGTAAAAAGTTCATTACCTCAAATCCAGCACAACTCTTCACTGGATATAGCAGTATTCTTTCTAGTGAGTAGTCAATTTTGCCTGTGTATGTGCAAAGAAGCCAGTGATACAGCTGTCTAATATGAAATACACTAAAAGTGTATTGACACTGTACGTATGTGGCTAATTATGCTTTTACTCATAAAGCTAATTAAAAGAATACTTATACATAGTGACCTCACACATACGTGTACATTTAAACACACAGATGCATATTGACAACAGTGCTAAGAAGCAATAGTGGTCAGGTAATTATTGTGTCTATAGCCCTGAAACTTTTGCATTTTTAAGGATCCTGTTTCCCAAATACATAAGGACCATTCACCAAATATGGGAATTCATATCCGACTGCACATTAATTATAACTGTGTGATTAAAACAAAGGATTAAACTATCCATATTAGAACTAGTAGCTTATGTTAAAGCTCTGCTTGTAGACAAAATAAAAACAAACACACATTAAGTGTTTACATGTGTAGCCTTACTTGTAGGAGATGTTATCTTAATGTCACTACCAACTTTTAAGAGTTGAGTAGAAGGAGAAAGGGAGGGAGAGAGAGGGAGAGAAGGAGAGAGAGGGAGAGCAGATGAGGGACTATCCAACTTTAAAAATGATTTGTTATCCTCTGTAGTGTATTCATCATGACCATTCTTATCAGATCTTGATTCGATAAATGACTCTTTAATGAAATCAATAAATCCATTAACATCACTGATAGAACTCATGTATCCAAAAGAGACACGTACACAACCAGTGGGTCTACCATTTATGATATCAACATCATCACCACACTTATGACCTGCCTATATTGTACAAGAGAGTAAGAAAGAGAGAGGAGAGAAGGGGAGAGGGAGGAGAGAAGGGGAGAGAGAGGGGGGAGAGAGAGAGAAAGAAGAGAGGGAGAGAGAGAGAGAGAGAGAGAGAGAGAGAGAGGGAGGGAGGGAGGGAGAAAGGGAGATACCAAAAAAGAAAAGCATAAAGAGAAACAGCTACTAAAATAACAGGAAGCTAGAGTGTAGTGTAGTATCTATATATGACCACATTATTGCAATACCTTCATGTTTTCTTTAATTTGAAGGGAAGAGAGGCCCAGAGCTGCTTGACATGCTCCTGGATTACAGAAACAACCAGTTCTAATGTGAATGTTATACACACAAGCCATTTTATCAACCTACATGTGAGAAAGAAATCAAGACTTAATAGAGAAATAAAAAAAGAAATTTAAGAGCTTGTACTACAAGATTAATAATAACAGTCTCTTATCAGCTTACTTCACTGTAACCAATATAGCTTCCATCAGCTCTCAATAAATTAAAAGTTACTATGCCCCCTTGCTTCATTCTATCAGTGTAATCTGTCTTGGCATATAGTACTGCCAATGGCTGACCATTAGCATGCCTCAAACTAGTCAATCTTTGATAAGTGAGTTGTGCTAAGTGGAAAGTATGTTCACTAATGCTCTCCATGTTAAGACTGAATCTCTTCAAAGTCTCAAACCCATACCTTAGTGCTCCTATACTCAGGAATGAGACCGTCCCATCTTCATACCTATAGAGTTACAAAATATTTACTCACTACAGATTGAGTAGTGTCCCTAGTGTGTACAAATGATAACCAACAACACAACAATGCATATTTATCCAGTCATGCATTATAATATAAATATTAAAATAATTAGTTTTCTACTGAATAACATTGTAAGAAGACTTGTATAGCCTCATTAAGACATGCTGTCATAATATAATTTGGTTATCAACGAATCTACATCACTAGTAACAGCATTAATACTCATTACTGACGTACCTTTCATGTGGTAGTGGCCGTGAAACATGATACCTCTCCCTTGCAATTGAGACAAGGACAGTGCCACCTCCAAAAAAACTTCTCTCTCTTTCCCCTCCTCCTCCTCCTCTTAACATATGAGAGACGTCAGAGCGTATTAATAAAGCCCCGAGACCTGTTGGATACCCAAATAACTTGTAAAATGATAGCGAGACAAAGTGAGCAGGATACAGTGACAGATCAAGATGATTTGTAGACGCATAACTTGCAGCATCTAACAGAACCAGCCAAGAGCCACTGAGCTCTCCAGGGCTTGCTAAACCATTTATAGACATGCTACCATTTTCTATTCCCCTAGTCCATTCAAGTGGGTACTTTATGCCGGAGAAATTGCTTTGAGCTGGATATGCAAATAAGTGATATGGTGGATTAAGAGGTTGGGAGGGGCTATGACTTTTTGTGGTGGGTGTGATTGAGTCTTCAGTTACACATACTAATTGAGCATTATTGATTGAAGCTGTCTCTCTCATACCCAAAACTGACGTGTGATTATCTTCGAGATAACAGAATATGCTCTGAGATTTAGGGACTAATGATGATTTATCAGTCACTGGTGGATTAGTTTCAAGAATCTGAGTTGAACCAGTATCAGTTGTAGAAATCTCCTGTTTTAAATCAGAATTAGCTGTAGAAAACTCTTGTTTTAAATGGGTATCAGTGTCAACTTGTGTAACAACAGAATCAGTGTTAGTTGATCCATGCTCGGGTGGTGCTAAATATGTGACATGATTTGATTCCAAGTTTGATTCTGACTGATTCCAAGGAAATATCTCACTCAAAAGAGAGAGTGCTGACGTGCAATTTGAAGTGAACACAACATGATACGAATCAGAATCAGTATTGAAATGATTTAGAATCAAGTCACGTGATCTCTCTACCACCTCGCTGCTTAGTTTGCTGCTAGGATTGGAGCTGTGTGGGTTGCCATAGAGATGAGTTGAGAGATCCTTAAATATCTCCTCTAGTTGACTCTTGGCGTATAAAGTGGCTCCAGCGTGATCCAAATATATTGAACCTGGTGTATATATATAATATAATAATAATTTGAGTCTTTATTTACCATTTAATTGTGGAAATTCTGAGGAGATCTCCACCATGTTTGCAAACTCCAGCCACACCTATAAAATAGCTAAAAAAAACCACGCCCCAACACGTGCTACCACGTGTACTTAAATTGAGAGGCGGAGATAAAAGGCGTGGTTAACTAGCAGCCATTTTAAAACTATAAAACTGGTAAGCTAAGAGAACTTTAGTGATTCTTTGTTTTGAGGAGTGATGAGAAGCGTGTCAAATGATTGGACCAGCTGAAAAACTAGACACATTACCTGCCTTGCTCTTTAATTAGAGTAAAAGTAGGCGTGTATTTGGTGAAGCTAGCCCAATATGACTATTCATAATCTTCTCTCTGACCTCATTTAATTACATATATATAGTCTTTTTATTAAAATTCATTTTATATTTGTTTAATTACATGTCTCTCTTCAATAGTAACAGTATGTCTGAAGTAGATGCTGTGAAAGAGGAGGAGGAGTTTGTGGTTAAGAAACATGTCAGATATTTCAGTCGCTGTTTAGATATTTTACCGACGCAATGTCAATCGTTGGACGCTAACAGGTTAATGGGAGGTGTGGCATTTATAATGGGTGGAGTCATATAATTAATTACCACACAACATTCACAATAATAATTTATGATTATTTCCTCTCTCTCTCTAGGATGACAATTCTTTTCTTTTGTCTATCTGGTCTTGATGTTTTGGATAACTTGAGTGTCATTGATGATCAGAGAGGGTCCGAGATCATTGAATGGATCTACTCTCAACAAGTCCTACCCGATCAATCAGACGGTAAATAATAATAGATAGAGAGGAATGAGACTATTAGTGGGAAAAAGGTTCTGCATGTAATTAAGTTTTTGTTTGTGCTTTAATTAGAATCAAGTCTTTCAAAGTGTGGGTTTCGAGGTTCATCATTTCTTGGAGTACCTCACGACAACTCTAAAGTAAACCACACGCACAAATACACACATATTGATTGTAACTCTTAATACTGTTGATTAGTTATGAATTTTAAAGTTTTTAAAAGGACCATATACATGTATATACACATAGGGTATTTTTTTTCAAAAATGACTAAAAGAGAATTCTCCATTTTTATAATTTTTTTCTGGTACATATACACGTTCTTATGCTGTGTATCAACTTTGAGCTGATTCCAACCAAAATTGGATTTTTTATGAATTTTTAAAGTTACTCAAAAATCGGACCAAAGCCCCTGTACTATAGTACAAGGTCATTAGCCGAATTTTGCCAAAAATGACTAGGAGAGAAATATAAATTTTTATAATTTTTTCTGATACGTATAGTATACATGTACTTATGCTGTGTAGAAAGTTTGAGCTCATTCCAATCAAAATTAGATTTTATATGAATTGTTCAAGTTACTCAAAAATTTACCAAAGACCTTACATTTATTATTATCATTCTCCTCTTATGTTCAGTCTCCAGTGTCTTATCCATACGATTGCAGTCACATTGCAATGACATACACAGCACTGTCCTGCCTACTGATATTAGGAGATAATTTGAGTAGGATTAACAAACCGGCAGTACTAACTGGTATTAAAGCACTACAGCAACCTGATGGAAGGTAAGGGAGAAAAAGAAGAGAATATTCACTTTGATTATGTACAATAAGAATAGAATTTGGTTCTATCCCATTGCTTACAAGATCAAAGTAGCCACAGATGTTGTTATTAGCATTTCACCTAGTATATGTTTCTCTTTAAGGCCACGTTTATACTAGCTGCTTTGCTCCACTGAATCTGAATAGTTTTTGCTATTAAAGTATACGATTTTGTTTGTTTTAGTCTAAATGAAACCAGTATCTGTGACTAAAAGTTTCCCTTTTCACTAGAGTAGTGTAACTTGGCCTAAATACAAAATTAAAATTGTTAATAGTATGTTGATTGTTTTTATTTTTGTAGTTTTTGTTCCACTGTTGAGCAGTCGGAGTCTGACATGAGATTCGTGTATTGTGCTTGCTGTGTTTCTTATATTCTTAACGACTGGTCAGTAGTTGATGTCTCTCTCACTGCTGACTACATAAAGAAAAGCTTAGTAAGCTAATAGTATTGTAACTGCTACTGAACTTGTTTGATGTTTTACTGAACTTAATTGTCTTCTCTCTTTTTTCTTCTAAAAGGCCTATAACTTTGGTTTTGGTCAAGGTCCTTCTTTAGAAAGTCATGGTAAGTGGTGATATTAATTATCGCAACTAATTTTTATACCAACTATTTATTATTAACTATTTACTGGTTTATCCATGGTTTTACATGGGATTTTGGCATAGTGCTAATGCAGCTTCTTGTCAAGTTGCTCAAAAAATTTTGGAAATAATTTTTTATTTTTATAATTTTTTTCTGATACACATACATGTTATTATGTTATGTATCAAGTTTGAGCTGATTCTGATCAAAATTGGATTTTTTTACGAATTTTTAAAGTTACTCAGAAATCGAGCCAAAGTTCCTGTACTATATAGTACAGGGTCATTGGCCAAATTTCACCAAAAATGACTAGGAGAGAATTTTCAATTTTTATAATTTATTCTGATACATATACATGTCCTTATGTTGTGTATCAACTTTGAGCTGATTCCAATCAAATTTAGATTTTTATGAATTTTTAAAGTTGCTCAAAATGCCATAATCTACTATTGTGCATGTAGTAATGCTCATCAGCTCATAAAGCTCATGCTGTTTACCTCAATTAATAATGTACATGTACATGTATTAGCATGTTTTGTGGGAAACCCTGGCTATTTATTAGCGATTGTTTATTTACTTTTTATTGCTAATATTGTTCACTAACTATTATTACTAGTTTATTAACCATTTAGCTTGGTTTATTAACTATTACTGGTTTATTAACTATCATTAGGTGGTTCAACCTACTGTGCCGTTGCCTCACTCGTATTAATGAACAAGTTGGAGTCCACACTGACATTGAGAGAAATTGAAAGGATCAAGAAGTGGTGCATCATGAGGCAACTGACGGGTTTCCAGGGTCGACCCAATAAACCAGCTGATACTTGCTACTCGTTTTGGATCGGAGCCACTCTTGAAGTAAAAATTTAAAAAAATTTTTGTTGCTATCAAACACCATTAAACTTTGTTTCATGAAATTTTTATGCATGTAATTTTTATACAGGAGTCAATGGAGGCTAAAACATGTTTCATGAAGTTGAAAATTTTTAAGTTAAAGAAACATGTTTCAATCAAGGTCCAATTGCCTCCTGTATAATGGTGTATGGAAATATCTAGCTGTTATACAGGATTCAATGGAGGCTAAAAAACATGTTTCATAAAGTTAAGAGTTTTCAACTTCATGAAACATGTTTCAAGCTCCATTGACTCCTGTATAAAAGATATTTCATGAAACAAGTTTCACGGTGTATGATAGACTTTATACTCATACATGTACTGCATGACTATGTATGTATTATTGAAGGATATAATAATAGTATGTACTAACTAACAGTACTACCTACCCTGTATGACTGTGTATGTGTGATTAGAGGAAGTATTTGCAGTATGTATTATGCATGTAGTTTTACCCTAGCATACACTAGTATTGGGCTTTATATGTACGTTTGAACTGTGTAGGTAAAATTCTAAATATTTTAATGGAGTAGGTACTGTAACAATTCTCAGTCTATTTTTGCTGTACATTTTAAAATTTTAGTCATAGGATTCACACATTATTTTAACTGTTGGCTTCTTCTAATGCTTGTTGAAAGTAATTGCTATTATTGTTTATTTCCAGATGTTAGGTGCCAGTGATTGGGTTGATAAAGAACTGAACGTTCAATTCATACTATCAACTGAAGGAGAATACACTGGTGGATTTTCAAAGTGGCCCAAATGTCACCCTGGTAAGAGATAAGATAAATAATATATTGCACTTTCACTTCTCTCTCTCTCTCCCTCCCTCTCAGATCCATTACATTCCTATTTGGGTCTTTGTGGTTTATCGCTAACAAATTATTCCCAATTAAAGCCCATCAGTGCACCTCTCAACATCAGCCAGAGAGCAGCAGAATGGCTCCAGTCCATAAGAGGCAACTTTTAAAAGGAAAAACAAATTCTAGTTTTTATAATAATTATTTTTTATTATTTTTAATTAGTAATGATTAGTGGGAGTGGCTCATTAGCATTTATAGGCGTGGCTTATTTGCAAAGACGAAATGGCAGAGTCATCTTCCAAATCTTCTACTCCAAAGCGAGCTATAAAGACTATTTCTCTTCCTCACACTCACAAGCTGTGGCCTGTAGTGAAAGAGAAGCTACAAAAAGTTGCAGAGAAGAAAGAGCTCGGGCCAGACGCTCTAGCAGGAGTGATTCTGGTCAGCCCAGAGTGGGGACTTGACAAGCCTCCAGTGCTTAGCGTTTTAAAGAAGGTCCTAGGGAAAGGAGACTATTATACAGTGGAGAGCTTCTCTGAGGATATTCTGCCGTATATTGCGAAGAGGGCTTTAGCTGTAGAGGAGTTATTCTCAGATCATGAAGGAATACCTGTAAGTGCAGAGTTGAAGAGTATATGATTCAACACTAGCATTTGCCTAACAACCCATGCTAGTTTATAATAATCCTTGCCATTGTGCATGATATTGCTGCTTTGGGGATAGCAAAATAAAAATATAAACTATCTGGTGGATTTCTTTTATAGAAAGCAATTAATTTGGACAGCAATTCTATCCCTATATTCTAAATTTTATTTCATTTTCATTTGCTATTTTCTTTCTCCTTTTCTTTCTCCTCCAGCTCCTCCTCTCTGGTGCTAACGGTTTCGTATCCTTCAATCGGTACCAGACCAGTTGTATCCTTGCCCTTGCTTTCTTCCACCTCCTCCCTCGCTCTGGGACCCACTCCTCCCGCTACCAGCAACTCTCTCTCATTGATATCCTTGAAGCCGGCTTTTTTCAGGCCCAACAAAGCAAGTGTCTCTGTATTTTGGGCTACTTTGATCGACTGGTGAAATCTGAGAGAGAGGGCGACGAAGATTTTATGAAACGTCGCATCAGTATTGAGAGGAGAGCTCTAGGGAGAGAGATGTCATCAGTTGATTACTGGAAGAATTCTGATGTTCTTTTGGGTGGCTTTGATGTGTCGGCTAGTGGAGTCATTGAGGAGCATGATGGAGCACTGCAAGTTGATTTCGCTAATGAATATATTGGGGGAGGAGTCCTACAGCAAGGAAATGTGCAAGTATGTACTTTTGAGAGATTGTGTTGTGTAGAATTAGAAGCACATGTATGTAGGAGTAGTATATTATAATTTATATGTAACTTTAGTCATGTTGTGCAGAAAGCTTGTGAGCCCAAAATTGATTTTTGAGCTACATGCATGGGCATTTTGGCATTACGGCTAAGACATATGTATTGACAGATTTTACGAGCATTTCTTTTTCTTTTAGGAAGAAATACGTTTTGTCATTAATCCTGAATGTCTAGTGTCTCTTTTGGTCTGTGAAGCCATGTATAAACACGAGTCCATTTTGATAACAGGGGCTGAAAGGTTCTCAAGCTATCGTGGTTATGGCGGAGGTTTTACGTATGCAGGCCCATACACAGACCCCAATCCAGTTGATCCTGTCTCTAACCGCTGTATAGTTAGTATTGTTGCTATAGATGCCATACCAGCTGCATGGCTGCCTGGTGGGGCCTCCTACCAGTTTAAAAGTGACGCCATTTTAAGAGAAACCTGTAAAGCTTATTGCGGGTTTAGTTTCAGTGATGTCCCTAGTGATGCTGGTGGAAACCGATCTCCTGTTGCAACTGGTAACTGGGGCTGTGGTGCATTTGGAGGTAACAAACTACTAAAGACTTTAGTTCAATGGATGAGTGCAAGTCAAGCTAATAGATCACTTTGTTATTATACTTTTGGGGATACTGGTCTCTCAGAGAAACAAGTGAAGATGAAGGAGTGTTTGTTGGAAGCTAAAGTAACCGTTGGGCAGCTCTTTGGAGTCCTGGCTGAAGAGGATTTTGCTGATAGAGCAAGGGAGAAAGGAATCTTTGAATACGTCATGGAAAAATTAGGAAAGGATAAATAACTATTGATTTTTAATTATAAATAATTATTATATATTTTAAAATTTTTAACTGTATTTTTTTAATCCTTTGTAGTACTGGTAGTTGTGTTTATTTTTATAAAAATATTTCAAATAGACAGTCTATTTATGCGTCAAAATAGTTGCTGCAGGAACCATAATATACATATCTTATTATGTATATTATGTACAGGTATTCTTTGCAACTTTTAAATTAACTTTAATTTGATAAATTAATGATAAAGGATAAAATCTGAGGATGACTATACTACCAATATAATATATATTTCTTCATTTACATGATCTTGGGAAGTAATATTTATATTTATTTGTTTTTATTTAATTTTAAGTCTATTAGTGTTACTGCCAAACTATTGAAGTGATTTCCTCGAGATAAGTGGAGTTGAGGTTGACATTGGTATAGGAGAGCTTGACAATGGTGAAGATGGTCCCAATCCTCCTCCAGTTGACACACTCAACAAATCATTGACCTTCTCCAATCTTGCACCTACCTTCTCTTGGCTCCTGCATATGCAGTGAGTTATTAATAGTCAGTATCAATGATCAATTAATGCAATACCTTTCATGTTCCTTCTGCTTTGCCTTGAGGTACTTTGCTTCCAAAGACAGAGATTCAACTTGTAATTTCTCTTTCTTCAGTTCTTTTCTTTGAGCTTTAAGTTCATTTTTCAAATGCCCAATCTGCATCAATATTCTATATTAAGTACATGCAGTATGTGTTCTATACTTTTCTGTCTTTCTCTTTCATTGCAAGTGTTTCATTATCAGCTCTCAGTTTCTCCAAGTAATGATGTGCAGTGTATTGCTCCTCCATGTGTTCTGTAACCTCTTTCAAGACACGCTGCAACTCATCCCTACATTATAAAACACACACAATGTTCTTACATACTGAACATCATGAGTTTAGTTGCCTTTGTTTAGCTTCCATTGCTTTCTTGTACTCCTCAATGTCAAGCTGTGACTGGTTCATTTGACTCACTTGTGATTGCAAATGTGCTAGCTGGACCTCTTGATTTTGAATTCTAAAACAAAATAAATTATTTCAAATATGCATACACTTGTCTTTACTTTGTTTCTGCCATTTTGAGTTTCTCTTTCTTTTCCTTCAATTGCAGCTCAATTTCTGTTTTCTTGTCAGCCAGTTTGTCTTTCTCTTGTTCTGAGGCATTAAGTGCTTTGTCTAGTTTTGTGATTTCCTTGCTGTGTGACTCAATAGTACTCCTGTTAACAAATGCAAATTTATTTCTAATTTTATAAACATGAACTATGTAATTACCTTAGAACCTGTACTTCAGTCTGTAGTCCTTTTAGTGTGTCCTTTAGTATTTTCTTTTCACTCTGATATTTCTTCCTATGTATCATAATGATTTTAAACTATAAGATATAGGTACAGTTACTTTAGTGTTAATTGGTCATTTTCTGCTTTCTGCCTGTCAGTAAGAGAAGAGTCTTGCTCCTTTTGTAAAGACGCCTTTAATGCTTCTTGAAAACTCTGTAAGGAATAATGTCTAATGTGCTATTTGCATTAATTTTCCACTAACTTCAAGGTCACGGATCTTCTCCAGGTAATAGCTGTTTGTCCTTTTCTCTTCCTCTAAGAGAATTTCCAGTGAGTTTTTGCTGGATGCGCTTTGTGAAAGTTTATCCTTTAAATGTTCAACCTTTGTCTTTAGTTCTTGATATCTAGACATCTCACGCTTTAAAGTCTCTTGAGTTTGAGCCTGCAGTACAAAATGACACATGAAAGATGTACATTATTGAAATATATAATTCATTAATACTTTTGCTGCTTTTTCTTGGTCAAAAGTTCTTTCAAGTTGCCCAAGTTTCTGTCTGTCAGAAGCAAGCTGAGATTTCTAGAATATTAAACAATAAAGGAGCTACTAGCTCACAAATCAGAAAAGTATATACCTTTTCAGACAGTTGGCCTTGGAGAGATTCATTTGTTTGTGTTAGGTGGTGAAGCTGTGATTGAAGTGATTTATGGTCCAGTTGTAGTCTTGACAGCTCCGACGCAACCTGCTGCAATCTTTCTTCTGACTGTATAGAAATATAATTATTGCTTATTACAAAAAAGATTGTATACCTTCTCCAGTTTGATCATGAATTCTTTTGCTTTCCTCTCGCTCTGTTCCACAGAATCCTTTTCCCTCTCCTCCATTCTCTTGATTGCTGTAGCATGCACTTCATTCTGGAGCTGAAGCTCTTGCTGGAGTGTGGAGCAGTGTTGCTGCACGTTTGCAAGTTTTGATTGCATTTGTAAAAGCTCATTAGACGCATGCATCAGTTGCCCCTCGACCTCTCTCTTCCCATTACTAAGAGCATCATATTGAGACTGAAGATGAGATATTTTTACTGTCACATCATTACGTATGGACACTTCCTTGTCAATGGAGGCACAAAGATCCTTAAGCTCATTATCCTTAGCCTTTACGTTCTCCATAGCATTCCTTAAATCAACTTTTGTGAGCTCAAGTTGTTTCTGTAGCCTATTAAAATTGTCACAGGTTTCTTGATACTTTGCTTGAAGGATTTCTTCATTTGTTGTCATTTTTGCTATCTCTTGTCTGTGTTGTATGCTCATGCTGCCAAGCGTCTCAGTAAAATAGGATCTCTCATCTGCACTTGCTTTCTGTAGCTCTTGGAGGCTCCTCGACACATTCTGGAGCTGCGTGTAAAGAGAGTGATTCTTCTCTTCTGCTCCTTGCAATTGCGTTTTCTTTTCAGCTAGCCCAACCTCAAGTTTCATGAGTCTCTCTTCAGCTTGTGAGATGTGAGAGCGAAGTGAGGTATTGCCTATCTCAGTTGCTAGTAGTTGTGCATTCAACTCATCTATTGTCTTCTTTTCTTGCTGGAGTGTCTCTTGTCCTTTCCTCAAATTCTCTTCTTTTTCCTTCAGTTCAGTTTGTAGTGAATCAACTTGAGATGCAAGTCTGACTGCCTCTAGGCTCTTTTCTTCTATTTTTTGTTTTATGTCTGCTATCTCTTGGTTCTTAGAGTCTTGAAGCCTCTGCAATTTGACCTTGTGGCTCTCAACTAGTTTCTGTACAAAAAATGATATTAATAACACACATTTTTACTATGCATGCTCATGATACTATAATTATTTCATGTGCCTAGAGCACTAAAATTTTGTATAAAAGTATATCAAATGTGTTAAGTAAGGGAGAATTCTCTCCTAGCCTTTTTTTACGAAATACATGTGCCCTGAGGGTACTTTTTTCATTTTGACTCAAACTTTGTACACAACGTAAAGACTTTCATACTAATGATACATGCACTTTTTATTTTATTGTACCTTGTAATTCTCAACATCTGCTGTTAAAAGGACAAGTTGAGTCTGAAGGTCGGACACTTTACCCATTGTCCTCTCAAGCTCAGCTTCCTTCTGAGTCAGTTGTACAGAGGTGCTATACATCTTTGCTTCCTTGGATTTATTTTCTTGCTCCAGCCCTTCTATCTGTTTCCTCATGAAGCTCTCAGTCTCTGTTAGTGCCTTTTCCTGCAAAATTATATAACATAAAACTTATTCATATTTCCAATACTGTTTACTTTTGTTGTGGCAGTGAGTGATAGGTTATGCTTCTCATTTTCTAATGCCAGGCACTGTTGTTTAAAGGACTCTAGTTCTTCCTTGAGTCTTGAGAGCTCTTGATTTTGTGACACGTTCCTCTCCTTCTCATATTCTACAGAGCAGCCAAGCGTCTTGTTTTGAAGTGCCAAACTTTTAATGGTTTCTTCCTTTTCTTCAATTGTCTATTATGAAAAAAAAGAACATAAAACAATAATTATTTTTGCTATAAATTTCTCTTACATCATGAAGTGCTTTCATTTTGACTTCCATTGCTGATTTAAGATTTTTGAGTTCCGAGACATCTTGCTCTTTGGAGACTTGAAAGTTCCTTAGTTCATTCTCTCTTCCTGATACTTGGGACTGTAGCCTCTCCTTTTCAATCATCAGATTGGCTATGTCTCTTTCTTGTTTCTTCATTGCAGTGTCTTTTAGTGCAAGTTGTTGACCCATCTTTTCATTTTTACGTCTCAAAGAGGTGAGTTCTGTTTCCAGCCTCTTCCTCTCCTTTATCTCGTTCTCAAGTGTTGTCTCTTTCTCCTTGTGTTCCCTCTCTAAGATAAATAGTTTCTCACTGACTTCTCTTATATTTGCATCTCCTGCCTCTTTCCTTTGGAGGTTTTCAAGCAATTGCCTAAGGAAACAACAACAACAATAATGATAATAATAACAATAATAACAACAATATATAATTATTACTACTATACCTTTTCTTATTTTCCAAGTCTTGTTTAAGTACTTGTAATTCAAGTAAGACAGACTCATGATTACTAGTAAGGCTCCTATAATTATCCCTCAGCATGCTTAACTCTCCCTGGACCATTGAGAGCTCGCTTTCTTTGTGGCTAAGTAGCTCATCTTTAGCAAAAACTTTCTGACGCGACTCTTCAAGTTTTTTTGTTGCAGCATCAAGATTCTGCTTGAGTGTCTTGCAAGAAGACTCAGCCTCAGTCAAGTGTGTCTTATCCAGCTCATATCCTCTTCTCAAGTTCTCCTTTTCATTCCCTGCAGCTCTCAGTGCATCTTGGAGGACTCTCACTTTCTCTTGCATTTCTTGCAACTCCACCCTCAGTGTGTTTAGCTGTTTGTCATTGTCAGAGCTGATGGTTGAAGCAATGTGCATTTGCTGAGTGCAGAGACTGTGCTCATTTTGTAGAGAAAGGAGCTATTATAATTAATTAAAAATCATTGAAAAGCATGAAGGATAAGAACGATTCTGGCTCACTTGGTTAGCTAGTGCTTGTTTTTCTTGCATAACTTGTGACAACTGCTCAACAAGACCTGCATGCTCTCCTTCTTTATTCCCCAATGCTTTGCTGTGATCTTCTAAATGGCTCTGTCTCAGTTGCTTAGCTTGTTCCTCCAACTGAGATATTTTAAACTGAAGACTTGCATTCTCAGCTATATATCATAGTAGGAAGCAAAGAAATCAAATAAGGCGTTACAATGATATGGATGCATCACCAGTGAGGTGTAAGAAGCATACGAAGATGTTAATGAATAGAATTTAAAGAAGACTAATTAAGGCTTAGGTGTTTATACCTTCAAATTTTGAGCACTTTTCCTGTATCAATCTGTTTTCTGTCTCAAGGAATTCAACCATTGATTTTGTCTCTCTTAACTCCTTATTAATGATATTTTCCTACAATAAAAGATAAACTTTATGTTTAAAAATTGGTATAATACTTTATCTACGATAGCCTGCGGTTGAAATTTTGTTTCGGGAAGAAAAGAAAATTGTCCCGACATGTTGAATGGCTTTCCTTCCATTACAGGAGTAGTATGGTGTATGCTACTAACTTGAGTAGCAGAACCTCCACCAGCAGAAAGAACAGAGACCTTTGAAGGAATGGAGAGACTAGAGAGGGTGAGCGTGCTATGCTCAGACGTGGCCCCATTGGTAGAGTCGCTATTCATGTGTTGCTGATTATAAAACGACTCCAGATCACTTGGGAGGTTATATATGACACTAGGCATGTACTGTGGGGCTGAGAATTTACCAAAATCACTTAAGATACTTTGAGTTGTTTGTGTCGTGTTTGATGCAAGGCCTGCTCCTGTAGTGTAATGCTGCTGCTGTGACAATAGATATGGAGCCCTGATGTGCTGCATTGGCTGGATTGAGGCAGTGGTAGGTGTTGATACTGTATACAATGGAGTGCTCACTCCTGGACCTGTTGAGGTAATAGTAGGCAAGTAGATTTCTTCTCCTTCCTTCTCACTAGCAAATAATTGTGCAGCAGGAACGGAGTGTTTGGGTGTCTCTGATGGTGAGGGTGCAATACTGCTGAGGATTTGAGAAGAGACAGAGGAGGAGGTTGGAGAAAAGTGATGAGGAGAAGTGTTAGTCTCTGGAGTTGCCATTTTTGTAGGCACTTGATGCTTTGGTGACCTTCTAATTGCAACTACCAAAAGGACAATAGTCAAGAGTAAACAATGTAAACAAAGCAGTGATCAATTTACCTGGTATGCGGCTTGGACTAGCTAAAGGAGTTTGAAAAGGGCTAGTAACAGGAGGAGAACTACTTGTCCTAGCACCTGTATGCCCAGCTTCCCTTGTAGGAATGGGTATGCGTGATTTGACTGGAGTCCTGGCTACTTCTCGTTCCTTGCGATAAGAAGAGAGTCAAGTCTTATTTAAGAGCGTGACAGGGACTTACAGTTCTATCCATGTCTTTTAATTGGGTCTGCGCTCCCTCATTTATATGAAACCAAGGCGTGAGATTGTTTCTATGCCTCCAACTTACACCTCAAAATGTGTTACCATTTTTCTTCATCATTCATGGGGCAGCTCCACCCTACCGTAAACAATCAAATTCATTGTTGCCGACTCTATTTAAAGGGAGGCCCAATAATAATAAAGAAAAATCAAGATAGAAAGTGATAATTAATTTTCTCTGAAATCTCTCTTGTAAAATCCATTCTTCATTTCTCTCTTGAGTCTCATTGTCTTCGATGCTTTGGTAGCATAGAGCATCAACGTAGCGAGGACTGACTAGCAGATTTGGGATCATAACATAAAAGGGTTAAAATTTACTGAACAATGGAAGGTACAAATGAAGAAGAGGTCATTGAAACTAGAGAAGAAGGAAACACTCCTCCTATCGGGAAGAACGAGCCGTCGGGAAATGAGGCAGGAGGAGAGAAAGAGGAGGAAGGAGTCCCTTTAAAGAATGGAGAAAATGGATCGGTGACTGGCCAAGTAGTGGATGAAAGAAAGAAAGAAGATGAGACCGAGAAGAAGACTAAAGGAGGAGAGGAAGAAAAAGGAGAGAATGGAGACGATGAAGGAGAGAATGGAGACAAAGAAGGAGAGAATGGAAGTAAAGAAGAAGGAAAGGAAAATGGGAGTAAAGAAGAAGAGAAAACAAATGGAGGGGACAGCGATGAGAGAGAAAGTAACGGCGATGAAGGTCGTAATGAAACTGCTGAGACTAATGATAATGAACAAGATGAGAATGGAGAGAGAGGGAATGAGGTAGAGGGTAATGGTGGATTGGAAGAAGTCGGAAAGAGCAATGGATTGGTCACTCAATCTGAGGGTGACGCTTCGCCTGTACAGGATAGAGAGTCCACGCCCACCAATGAGGAACAAAATACGGAAAATGGAGACAAGGAAGCCACGCCCACTAGAGAGGATGAGACGAGTCCAGGGGAGGAGGATGGGCGTGAGGCCACGCCCACTGAAGAGGACGGGGTTGCTAGGAGACCGGAGGTGCGAACGGTTAGATTTTCGGAGGACGTTGAGCGATTTGAAATATCAAGTGATACCACCGATCACAGGGAACTAGTACAAGTTGAATTATCAGAGGATCATCGTGAAGTAAGAGGAGAAAGAGAGAGAGTGTTTTTGTAATGGAGAATTAATTATTATATTCCATAGGGAGAATCTCCTACAGAAGTATCTTCACCCACTTCTAGTAAATGACAATAATAATTATTAGTTGTTGAATTTGTATTTTTTGTATTGTAGCCTCAATACCAGGACTGCCCCAGCTAACCACAGAACAATTAGTGACAGGAGTAGTCTACCAGGCACAAGTACAGTAATTCATTTATTACAAATTATATTGTATAGGTTGTAATTTTAGAAGGGGAAATTTTGGCAAATTTTGCATTTGACAGCATTTGCTCAAAATTAAATCCACCATTTTGTACCATGTTTACTCATGTTCAATGGCACATGGCCACAAATTCTCCAAATTAAAAACCACCAATCATCAAAAGTTAGGAATTTTGCCAAAATTTAGCTTCTCCAAAAATTCCCTGCTATACGATATGTTATGTTATGTACCTACACATATATTATGTGAATGTTTCTGTACTTTTAGTGACGGCACTTTTATGCTCAAAGATAAATGCCTTAAATAGTTTTAATGCTTTCTTGGTTCAGGTGTTGTTTAGCTTGTAAATGGTCGTGTTTTTACTTAGCAAAATTAGCATTCCCTGCAAGCAGTACCATAATTAATTTTGTTATATATACATATGTATATAATATATGTTATTTTACTCTTTTTTTCCCATGTATTGTTACTCTTTTTTCTGTTTTTCCTTTTCAGTATCTTGGCTCTACTCCAATAATCTTCTCCACTTCACAAAAGACGGTACGAATGCAGCAAGCAAGAGAAGCTGTGAAGTTATTTAAGGTGAGCCATGGATTCCCCCTGCTTTTAATTTTTTCTTCTTCTAGGACCCAGAAAATGAAACACAACCAAGAATTGATGTTGAGCTAAAGATCAGTACTAAAACTATTGTCATAGCAGATAAAAAGACCCAGGTAAATATAAATACTCAATATCCTGCAAGGAATGCTCATGAGTTGTCAGCGTAGTGTAGCGGTTATCACGTGTGCCTCACACGCACAAGGTCCCCGGTTCGAACCCGGGCGCTGACACGTTTTTTTTTCCTTCTATTATACAGTATAACTACATTGTTATTTTTTTCTTTTTTTTCGAGGTTGATCTAATGACTCACCCACTAAGAACTGTATCCTACGTTGCAGACATTGAGGGATCACTGGTGATAATGGCACACAGGACGATACCATCATCACCTGGACAACAACTCAAATTAACTTGTCACGTACTGGACACTGAAGATGTAGGAATAAGAATAATAATACAACTTCTATTTCTTTGTTACTTCTTCTTTTTTAGCCCAGAATAGTTGCAATGGTCATAGGACAGGCTTTCAGTACAGCCTATAAAGAGTACCTAAAGTCACATGGTATCAAGGTGAGGTTTAGCGGAAAGGGGGTGGGTGAGATTTGATGCTAATATTTATGATTAGGAGGAGTCTTTGGATCAGTTTGAGTATAATCACGTCCTTAATTCCCAGACTAAATCGGAAGCTGATTTGAATTCATTTAAAGATGATAATAAGACGAGAGAAGTAAGAGTTATAGCAATTTATTTGATCCTTTGACTGCACTATATTCAATATTTTGGTACTTTTTCTGAAAAATACCCTGTACTATAGCCCATGGTTTTTTTCCAAAAAATGGCTCCGAAATCACCCCAAATTTTTATTACATTTTCTGATACATATTGATGTCCTTGTGCTGTGTAGAAAGTTTGAGCTGATTCCGACTTCAAATTTTCAAGATACGGCCATTTCAAGAAAACACTAAAATTCTGAAAAATACCCTGTACTATAGCCCATGGTTTTTTCCAAAAAATGGCTCCAAATTCACCCCAAATTTTTGTTACATTTTCCGATACATATTGATGTCCTTATGCTACATAGAAAGTTTGAGCTGATTCCGACTAAAAATTTTCAAGATACGGCCATTTCAAGAAAATGCCAAAATTCTGAAAAATACCCTGTACTATAGCCCATGGTTTTTTTTCCAAAAAATGGCTCCGAAATTACCCCAAATTTTTGTTACATTTTCCGATACATATTGATGTCCTTATGCTACATAGAAAGTTTGAGCTGATTCCAACTAAAAATTTTTAAGATACGGCCATTTCAAGAAAATGCCAAAATTCTGAAAAATACCCTGTACTATAGCCCATGGTTTTTTTCAAAAAATGGCTCTGAAATCACCCCAAATTTTTGTTACATTTTCTGATACATATTCATGTCCTTATGCTACATAGAAAGTTTGAGCTGATTCCAACTAAAAATTTTCAAGTTATAAGCATTTAAAAAATACAGTGTACTGTACTCGTGCCACCTTTGTTTTGGAGCCACTTTGATTTTTGTTTAAAATCAGCTCAAACAGTCTACAAACATGTACATGTACATGCATATCAAAAAATTATGAAAAATGTAGAATTCTTTTCTATCCATTTTTGATAATAGATAGCTAGTACAGGGTCATTAGCCGTATTTTGAAGCAACTTTAAATTTTATAAGAAGTCTGGTAAGCATAGGAGCTCGTTTTCCCGGTATAGCAAGGCTGCAAAAGTCGTGGCAGCCATTTTGTTTGGGGGTGAATCCTACTTAGTAACGCTACCGCGTTACTAATTATTCTATATTCTTCTCTTCTTTCTTTCATGACAGATTACATTTGCTAAACCAAAGGGCGATATACTAGGCCTAGTGGTGATTGACTCAGGCTATGGATCAGTCATTCCATCATGTATAGTAGCTCACATGAACAAGACTGGAGCAGCTGGTAGATCAAACCTACTTAACGTTGGGGACCAGATCCTCTCCATCAATGGAGTCAGTCTAGTTGGAATGCCACTGAGAGTAGCCATTGACCAGATTAAGGTATCCAGCACTGGGAGTGGGTTTTGTTTTAAAAGTGAAAAGTTTGTTGTATTAAAAAAGAATCAAATTGTAAAAATTTGCCAAGAATTGCATGTACAGATGCCATTGAAAGCAACTCAAGGACTCTACTTTACCAATTACCGTATAGAGGGTAAATTTGGAGGGGCTAAATTTTGGCGAATTGCTAAACTTTGACTTTTAATTTGGCGAATTTGTGGCCACGTGCCATTGAGCATGCATATAATGGCTCAAATTGGTGGATTTTTATTTTGCCGAATGGCTATCAAAACGCCAAATTCGCCAAATTTAATCCCCTCCAAAATTTCCCGCTATACGGTATCCACTCTTGACTTTACATAATGGTATGTACAGGTAGTGGCTATATTGTGGATTATTGTTATTTTCAAAAATTAGCTGCTTCCTTTGCTATGCAGCAGCTGTGAATTATGTCAGGTTGTACATCAATTAGGTCTGTAATGAGCTTATAGTGTACTAGCATATGGCCCAGTGTCATTCTTAATATGTATAATACAATACCGTACGGAAGGAAATTTTGGAGGTAGTTAAATTTGGCGAATTTGGCGTTTTGATAGCCATTCGCCAAAATAAAAATTCGCCATTTTGAGCCATTATACGCATGCTCAATGGCACGTGGCCACAAATTCGCCAATCACCAAAGTTTAGCAATTCGCCAAAATTTAGTCCCTCCAAAATTTCCTTCTGTACGGTACTATGCAAGTACATATACATGTACATTTTGATTTAAAGTTAGACCTCTTGTCTTTTCTTTCTAGAAATGTCGTAATTTGACTTTAGTAAAGATGACCACGTGCAGCTGTCCTGCTGTGGTTGACGTTACTATCATGAGACCAGACCTGAAGTTCCAGCTGGGGTTCTCAGTTAAAGAAGGAAATGTTAGTAAATAAAGACAACAATACCTGTTATTGTATCCTTTCTCTTTACATGCTTCTTTATTCCCCTGCTTCTTTCTCCTCTCTCTCTTTCTCTCCCTCCTTCTCTTCCTATCTCCCTCCCTCTCTCTCTCTCTCCCTCACCCCTCTCTCTCTCTCCCTCCCTCCCTCCCTCTCTCTCTCTCTCTCTCCCTCTCTCTCCCTTCCACACCTCTTTCTCCCTCTCTCTCTCAAATATGTTCTCTATGGAGAGGGTCAATAGCTGAGAGGAGTGGTATCAGAGTAGGTCACAGGATTATTGAGATCAATGGTACCAGTACTGTGGGTATCACACACGAGGAGATAGTCCACATGCTATCCACAACAGTTGGAGATGTAAGCAGATTATCAACCATACCAGTATACAATGTATTATTAGTACCATAATAACAGTATAGCTCCATACAGTAGCTGTATAATGCCATAATAGTATGTATGTATGGAAAGCTTTAAGCTGTATCCTCTTGTGACTAATCCTCTGAATAGATCAAATGTTAATTCTATTAGAACATTCTTTTATATTTATTCAGCTAGGCAACAACATGTCTTGTGAACTTTGATCTTGTAAGGAACATAATTATTGTCAAGAATAGAACAACTATCTATTCTAGGCAACATGTTGCTTACAAGATCAAAAATGTTACTATAGCAAAATGTTGTTTATTGTACCTTTTAGTTCATTTATCATTCTTACCCCTCCCTCTCTCTCTCTCTTCTACTCTCTTTTCTTTTTTCTAGCTACACATAAGGACGATGCCCACTATCATGTATCAGTTACTAACAGGACAAGTAGCGCCAGAGTATTTTTAACCCGTTTATCATCAGCAGAATATGACTATATATTATAATAGGGATCGAGAGAAAATATTTCGCAAAAATTATTGTTACAATAAATAATTATGTTTAAATTCACTTTATGAGCTTGTCAAAAAATTTTATGCCACATTATTGTGCAGAGGAAGTACTGTATAGCGGGAAATTTTGGAGGGGATTAAATTTGGCAAATTTGGCGTTTTGATAGCCATTCGCCAAAATTAAAATCCGCCATTTTGAGCCATTATACGCATGCTCAATGGCACTTGACCACAAATTTGCCAAATTAAAATACGCCAATCACCAAAATTTTGCCCCTCCAAATTTACCCGCTATACGGTATTGATACTTTATCACAATTGTCTGTAAAATTTGATATGATTGAAATATAAATTAAATCCTGATATTTAATCAATGAATCGTGCTAATAAATAATAGATATATCTGAGTGTCACTATAATTTTTGTAGATATGATACTATTGATATATTCTGTCCCGTTTTGCTTCTCTTTATGGCTGCCTCAGCTTTCTTAATGTGCTCATTCACAATGTGAATCTGTTGCTTTGTGTAGAGCCTATTAATATCATCAGGAACTGTCTTGTTTCTATGAAATGCACTATAGGTTGTAGTAAAAAATGCATGTATTTAATAATATTGATCAGTCTAAATAATATGATAGAAGGCACCATTTGGTGGTTAATCAAATTCATCTTTAAAGTGAAAAAAGTGTCAGATTGCAGGGTTTTTTTTTGAAAAAGCACTGTTTGCAGAAGTTAAAATCTTTTTGCACTCTGTCCAAAAAGATAAGTTCAACTAGGTGGTATGTACAAGTTGACCTTTAATTATCAGCTAAATGGTACCTTTTCTGTTACATATTATTGATAAGTTCACTAATACATTCACTCTGGTTCTTACTTGAATCCATCTTTCATCTTAAGGCTCAGTTCCTCAACAGTTAGTTGTTGATAATTAATGAAGTCCAGTATCCTCTTTACCTCTTGCACAGGATCTTGTTTCAGGTCCTCAAACTTCACCACTAGTACTGGTACACTGGAGCCCACCACCCAATACCGTATCAGCTTGCTCCACCACTTAATGTGATAGTTTAAGTAGTCATCCCAGTCTTTATTGTTATATCCTATTAGACATAAAACTATAATGATAAACTCTTTATTCTAAATGACAAAATAAACATAGCATGATTTAGGCTACGTTTACACAGCAACGGAAAACGCATCGTTTTTAAAGTATCCACTTAGAACACCATTTTCGTTTCCAGATTCTACCTTGTTTTCATTCCTTTCTGTGTAAGCAGAAGCATAAAACAGGCACAAAACTATATAGATTGCATCATTTTCGTTGCTGTGTAAACATGGCCTTAATTAATACTTATTGTTTCGATGACAGGAAAAATAAAACTTGATTTGTAAAGGTGATAGAACATTTTTACGCAAAAGTTCAATTTATAATGTCCAGTCATTGGATTTTGACCCAATATTTGATCAACTTTTAAAATTTGTAAAAAAACCAAATTTGATCAGAATCAGCTCAAACTTTCTACACAACATAAGAACATATATAAGTATCAGAAAAAATTATAAAAATAGAGAAATCTCTACTTTTCAATTTTGGCAAAATTTGGTCAACTCACCAAAATATTTTTGCTTGTTTCTGAGGACTTTAAGATGTGAGTCATTTGGATCCGTATCATTACTTATTTCCAAAAGGTCTGTGGTCCTTCCTGCAATGATAGCATGATAAGGATTACGAATGATAAAGACTGTGGACACAAACTGAGACGAGTAAGTATACTCGTGAGTTTTAACGACAAGCGTCGATCCACTGTGGACCCCTTCTCCATTGAAGCCCCTTATCCTAAAATGAGCGTGACAATAAACAGAACCAGTGCATACACCAGTGGCTAGTTCTAAGAGTCCTCTAAGCCACGTGTTACCACTGCCAGGAAAGGAAGCCAGTGCTACTGGTCCTCTTCTAACGTTTGATGAGGAAGATGAGGAGCTACTGACGAAACGACAGTCCCCATCTTTCACTGGTCTGAGTTTTTGCAGTGATTTTCTAACTCCGCGAGTACAAGACTCGTAAGTGTCTCTCTCCGCTTTAGAGAGAAGGCTCAGACACTTTGGATCAGTCTGGTAGCAAGGGGTTAGCTTTGGAGGGAGGAAGGCTGTCTCTATGTCTCTGTAGCTGCTCTCAATCATCTGAGGAGTCTCTAAGCCTTCACTGTAGATAGAAAACAAGAAGGTGAGGAATTTGGTGAAGAATAGTGACACGAAGAGCAAATTAAACAGAGCAAAGCAGCAAAAATAACCCATTCTGAACCTGGCCATTTTGTGCTTCAACCATGTCCCTGCAATTATTGTTGGATTAATAAAAAGAACTCCACCTTTTTAATTTTATCAGATCTACATACCACACAAGCTTGAGAAAGCAGCATAATACTATGTTAACCAGGAAGAGAATGTATGACACTATAGTAGCATAGTACTACACAATGTTTCATGCACATCGCAGGCCCATAGCTAGGGTTACAAAAGGGGGCAACAAAATATGAGAATGGGTGGCAAGTAGGCCTGGATGGACACAAAATATCAAAAATACATGTTTGATTGAAGCACAAACAATTTGAACAAAAATATTAATGTAAAAGGCACCTCAATCACCCCCTGGCTATAGACCTGGACATCAAGCAAGCTATAGCTTTGACAATTAATTTGAACACCATAATTGTATCAAATTTCTAACAATAGATAAGTATAATTATAATAATGAATAATGATGATGATGATGCTTTACAATAATATATTAATGTAATATATTTGAAATGGAGAGTGATGCTAGTCGGCTAGTCTTATGTAATGTGAGAGTATGTTGTTTCTGTACTTGTTCTTAATCCGTAGCTGAGACACAACTAGCTGTATGTGATGATTGATTGTCTCTATTTGCTTTTTAGTAAAATGTTTTATCCTTTTTTTCTGCTTTGGCCTCCGATATTTGCTACGAAAATAAAAACAAACAGAAAATAAAATAAAAATAGTTATATATACTTCTTAAAGATGAGCTTAAATTTTTATAACTGGAAGTTAATGGTTTAATACAATATCATATAGCGGTCAGAGTTTAATTTTAGTCTTTTCGTTCTCATCTCCTGTGAAACAAACATTTTCCAAACAAAAAAGGTGTTTCTTTAATACCACGTGTCCAAAATGGCTGCTCAGAATAAAAATAAAACAAACAAAATTTTTTTAATCCTGCTTAGAACAAACATTTTTCCAGACAAAATATAACCCGCTATATGGTAATAGAATTTGGTTTTATTCTCTTTCAGTACTTCCAGTCACACTAAAAATATTTTGAAGCCATCTCATTAAACTTCTCTCTCCCCTCTCCCTTACTTGAATCCATCTTTCATCTTAAGGCTCAGTTCCTCAACAGTTAGTTGATGATAATTAATGAAGTCCAGTATCCTCTTTACCTCTTGTACAGGATCTTGTTTCAGGTCCTCAAACTTTACCACTAGTACTGGTACACTGGAATTCACCACCCAATACTGTATTAGCTTGCTCCACCAGTTAATCTTGATGTTCACAAAGCGATCCCATTCCTTATTCTCACCTAAAAATAATAATTACGATAATATTATTATTACAAAGACAGTGACATTAAAATTTAAAATCTAATAATTAGTTACAATTAAAAATCTAATACTTTTACAGCTAAAAAGCAACTGGTTATACATTATTTTTTGGAGCTATGAGGACTGCTATTGAAATTGTACCCTCAATAGGATTACACTGCAAACAATAAACAAGGTACTACAGACTATCCTTGTTGTAGCTAGTTGGCAGCAGTGATACTATCAGCAGTGCAGTATGCAGTGACTTATAATGTGTTACTAGAGAATATTCAGTCAATGAAAGATGTGAGGTAAGAGTCAAAAGAAGACTTGAACCACAGACATAAATAAAAGGCTCAGTCTGTTTGTAATGTGACCAAAAATTAGATTATAACATTCTTATTATCACAAGTATTATTGTCAGAAATTAAAGGCAAAACCCGATTAACTTGTTAGTTTAGGCTTTGATGGTCAATAAATACTTTAACAGCAATATTTGAAATACACTTCACACACTAGACATTCCTCTATCTTGCATTCCATTCTAAGCTACATCATCAGTTACATAAAGTATCTACACTTTTGAGTTATTTCCTCTTCCCTCTTCCTCCCGCTCTTACCAAAGCTATCCTCTTCCACAACACCTATGTGACTGCTGGAGCCATTCACTTGATAAAAAACAGACACATTTTTCATTTTAGACACTTCCCTGTTTCGCTCAGAGACAAGAGCATCAAATGGATCTCGTACTAAAAACACAGCACTGGAGAACAACGGTTTCTGGCGACGGACCCTTGAACCAAAGTATATGTTATACCGATGGGTCTTCACAACTAGGGCAGAGCCACTGTACAGGCCTTCACCGGTGAAGTCTTTTGCTCTCAGCTCGCGGTCGCAATAAATAGACCCAGTGCATATGCTGGTAGCTAGCTCCAGTAGACCACGTACCCATGTATTACCACTACCAGGGAAGGAGACTAGGGCAACCGGGCTCCTTCTGGAGCCGTTAATGAAGTGACAACCGAAGCTTAACACCGGCCCTCTTTTAGCAGCGCTATTGGTACACTTATTGTACAGGGCAAAGTCCTCGGTGGACAAGCGGTCCAAGCAGTGCTTCGAATTGCAGGGATAAAGCGACGAGTACAAGGACTCCGTTCTCGAGTTATTAGTTGGTAGGGTCTTTGGTAGAAGCTGTAGATCCAAGTCCTGGGCCGCAGGACCGCTTCGAATTACTTGGGAAGACTCCTGGTAATACTGGTTGTACATGCGTTCGCCTTGTATGAATATCCTGAGGAGTGTGGAGGAGGATATACATATGATGGCGAGTAGGACTATTCCTTTACGCCTTGTTCGTCTCAAAAGAGCCATCCCTCGCTTCAGAACCATTGAAGAGCATAGAGAATAATAAAGACAGGACTGGTTCTGTTACCCATCACTGGAGGCGTGACTTCACTGACCTTTGTTGCTAAAATTAAAATTTATTTTAATAAAAAAATAATTACAAGAAGAATAGGATACAAAATTCAACAAAAATTATATAAAAATACCTGTGCACAATCAAAAATTATAAAAAAATACAAATAGATCATTATTGCTATTATTATTCATACGGAAAATAGTTGCTAGGTGGCCTTCCCATTCTCGTTGCTAGTAGCAATGGCGTCGGTAAAAATAGCATAGCTACCAGATTTGTTCTTATGTTTCTGTGCCCAGTACTTCATTACTAGACCAAGTGAGCCGAAAATCAAAGCAGAGATGAAGTAAAAGGTAGGAACAGTGCAAAGGAGAGCATAACGTAAACCAAGACAGTCAGAAAAGGCAGGGACATGATCAGAAAACAGAGGAACCTACAAGGGATGGTATGAAGGCATAAATAAATGTATTTGTGCTTTATTAGTAAATATTGATCAACACCAGTTATTATGTACCATTGTTTCAATAGTTGGTACATGTACGTGTATACAGCCAATATGTACCTCTTGCCAATTATGTACATGTACATGTACATGTATGATTGCAAGTTGTAGTTATATCGCCAGGTAGTGGCATGAGTATGTGTGTGGCTACATCTAATTCTTCTTATGCATGCATGCATGCATCATGTGTAAATCTCCAATAAGGCGATACTGAAACTATAACACATGATTTGAGCCTACGGTAGAGGGCTTAGCAGTTAGCTTTAAGTGCTAGAATAACTATCACAATTAGAAGACGCTGGGATTATCTGCACACGTATCTTTATCAACAATTATTGATTATATTAGCAGTATATGTAGGTCGTTGATTAAATAACACTATCTTATGGCAACAAGGAAGTCATAACATTGTACCCACATACAGTAGATGTAGTCTATACATAGGGACTTCTTCATTACTCACTCCTCCTTTATGTATTCTTATCTGCTATTCATTCTCTCTCTCTCTTCTCTCCCTCCCTCCCTCTCTCCCTCTCTCTCCTCCTACCAGTACTGGTCCAATGCTGGCCACTATTGAGATTACACCAATGTACACAGCAGAGGCTTGGGCTCTCATCCCAGGCAGAGTGATATCCTACAGAACCAAAAACAACAAACAAAACAGTAAAGGTATCAGTAACATTAGCACTATACAAACAACCACACACATACCAGTATACATGTACATGTACTTATCACATCATTGAGTGTACATTACATGTATACACACACACAAAGAAGTCATTGGGCCATACAATATAAAGTTAATGAAAAATACTCATTGCAATTGAACTGCTTTTGTCACACTACATGATGTATGGAGGTATTATAATGATTTCTTTATTCGTGTTATTTACTTGAACTAAAGCAGCTGCTGGTCCGAGCCATGTCTCAGCTGTCACATAGGCAATGAATAATAAACCATAAGAGGTGGTGGGTGAGTCCACCATTAGGACACCAATAATGGCTGGAGCTGCTAGCACCTGAGAGAGAGAAAGGAAGAGAGAGAAAAAAGAAAAAGAAAGAGTAGGAGGGGGGAGAGAGAAAAAAAGATATATTAAAAGAGGAGAGAAAAAGGTAGGAGAGAATTAGAGTGAAAGAAAAGAGAGAGAGAGAAGGGATGTGAAGTGATGGAAGAGAGAAAGAGGTGGAAAAGGATAAAAATCAAAAATGTACATGTACATGTAAAGGCCACTATACACCAGGCAATACTATTGGAGGCAAACTGTGGTTACTTTGATCTTCAGTCAACACTATTGCCTAGAATAGAAAGCTGTTCTATTCTAGGCAAAGCATTGCTTACAACATCACAGGTTGCAAGCAATAGAATAGCCTGGTATAGAATGACCTTAATACAGGCATGCAGCTAATGCTATCCATAGTTACCTGACTAACAGCAATCACATAAGCCTTGGCTCCCTGCCTATGTCTTGATAACCTTCACAATTAAACAAACATTAATCAGTTATAATTAATAATATTAATCATACAACTAACCAGTCAGATAAAGCTCCACCCAAAAAACAGCCCAATCCTCCACCAAAGAGAACAACAAGCCCGACCTTGGGCCCATAGTCGTGTGATCCAACTTGAAACACTCTTGAGTAATAGGTTGGTAGCCAGTACCCTAATGCATAGCCTGGTATGTTTCTCACTGATCCAGCAATTATTAGTAATATGTATGGAGGACATCTTATCAAGTACTTGAATGTTTCCTGAAAACATAATAATAAAAATAAAACAATTACTGTATATCTCACTGATACTGTACCTAACAATTACTGTGTTGACAATACGTAACAATTACTGTATCTCATAGTGTTGATTATTCAACCATGAGAAGAGTAGATGTATAATTATTGGGTTTTTAGTTCCTTTTTTCCACTATCAATTTTAGCTACATGTACACATTGGGGTAGCATGAAGTAGGATTCATTTAAAATTAGTAAAAGTTATACTGCAGTTACATAGCCTGCTGTTTATGATGGTTTTTGGCCAATATATAATTAATAAAAATTGACACAAGAATTCTGTGCAGTACAAGAGCAATCAATCATAGTCCCTATACATGTACATGTACATGTATTTTAGCAGAATATGTATTTTAATTTAGCAGTTCATTGTTCACTACTTGTATCTGTTCTTACCCAAACAGTGTAATAAGACTTTCCTCTGAGTCTCTTCTTCCTCTTTTCTCTGATCCTCTTTGGTTCCCATAAAGCCATCATTGCTAGTGGTAGCATTCCCATTCCTACTATACCAAGTATTCTGAATGTCCATCTCCAGTCTAAGACTCCTGTAATGGCACCAGACATCCAACCAAAAGCACCACCTTAGAAGAAAGAAAGAAACAAATGGATTAATTTCATTTTATAGCTACAATCAATGAAAAATGTTGGTATGTGAACAATTATGTGTATAAAAATTAAAACTATTACTATAGCTGCTTTATTATGGTTAAAATGCATTAGATACATGCAATACATCTACTCTTGGAAGGTACATGTAATACATGTACATGTACATGTATTATTTAGTTACATGTATTATTGTTAAATTCAATTTAAAAATAATTTTATACAATCTCTCTCTCTCCTCTTTTTTTGTCTCAGTTAATTCTTACCAAAGTACACTCCATAGTTGTAAAAAGAGAAGACTGATGCTCTGTTACGAACCGGAAAGAAATCAGCCATTAAAGAATAAGCCACTGGATTGAAGGAAGCCTTTGAAGAAAAAAAAGAAATAATAAAACAAAAATAATAATAAATTGTAAAAATAGAGATCGATTCTTTGTTTACATTGTTTAGATTGAAAGTGAAACCTGGCAATATCTTATATTTAGTTTGGCTATCATGGGCACATCTTAACTTCAAAACAACTCAATAAATACAGCAAATCATTAAGAGCCAAAATTTTAAATCAATCAGCTAATCAATGTTAACCGGAATCAGCTCAAAATTGATGCATAACATAAAAACGTGATTTGATTCCACTCAAGATACATAAAGTCCTTACCTCTCCAATGCCTAACATTATTCTCAACACCAGGAGCTGCCAGAACTGCTTCACAAAACCAGTCAAAAACACCATCACAGACCAGAAACCAACGCCTACCAATAAAACAAGTGGGCGTGACCTTGTATCAGCCAGATAAGCGAGAGGCAGGCCAGTAATAACGTAGACTACAACAAAAGCAGGTCCAGTTAATAGACCTTGCTCTGTATCACCAAACGAAATACAGTCACTGTTTAATGCTGTGGAGTTAACACTTGCATTACTAGCAGGTGGTGCTGGACAGTGACTGGTTGAATCAGAAGTGGAATTATTATCATCGTCATTGCAACGAAGACCGGATGGTATGAGGACGGCTAATACTAGTCTATCAGCTTGATTAAGGACATATAACAAGAGGAGGACCAGTAGGAGGACAATGGCAAATGGTGTGATTCTCTTTTGTGGGTTAGTGGAGCGATAAGAAGCCACGAATGCTCTTAGACCAATACAGTCTAGGAAAGAGAGGCGAGAGTATTTTTCTGGTAATAGAGACTTGTCATCATCATCGTCATTGTCGTCATCATATTCGGTTTGATCATCTTCCCTTCCTATTTGAGGAACAGGTGTGTCACTCTCTTTCCTAAAGCTAGCTGTAAAGCTTCTGCTGTCAAGCAGAGAAACCTTCTCTTCCGTGAGTGGGGGGTCGTGGCCGTTGTTCTGCAGTACTAGAGGTTCATTGCAAATTTCCTCTTCCTCCTCTGTCTCTTCAATTAGATCAGGCTCCTTTTCGGCAGCCATTTAAATTGTTGCACTGTTGCTGCAGCGCTGGCTTGTGAAGGGCGTGGCTAATCAAATTTTGAGCCACACCCATTATTGCAGAAATTATTATTATTATTATTGTTGACACAAAAATAATTATAAAAGACAACAATGGAAAATCAGTGCTCAATTGCCAACACACAGAAAATACATAATGATAGTGGTACAAGGATATGATAAAATTTTAAAGCTTTTTGCCGGGTTTTTGTTCTGCAAATAATTTACTGCTCATCACAGAAAGATCTTCAAGTAAAAGATATACCTGTAATAATTAAAATAATAATTAAAATATAATAATTATTATTAATTTCATAATTATTTGTAATGTGACTTCATTGAGTTATATACCTCGCTCATTTTAGGCCTCAGTGTCATTTTTTCTGTCAGACATTTTTCAGCAATTGTGAACAGTTTTAAAAATGAGCGAGTAGGCCAATCGCCAGCAAAATCGTCAGAGATTTGTATGAAGCTAAAATTAGGATCGCTTTTCTTTACTTCTATGTATGCAACCTAAAGCACAACATAAATTTTCATGATAGCTTTGGGCCTCTCTTACCAAATCTGAATATTCTTGACCTTTGTTAGGATCATAACCTGGTAAACCAGTTAGTATTTCTAGTAATACCTACATGTAGATTAATAATCTGCAATAGAATATACTTGCTATAACTACTCACTACTCCAAAAGAATAAGTATCCAGTTTAGTAGTGATGACTCCTCTGTAATATTCAGGTGCAATATAACCTGATGTTCCAACTATCCTGGCAGTTTGACTTTGACGAATGTCACTCTTGGAAGGATCACCTATAGCTCTTACCAGACCAAAACCTCCAATTTTTACATGAAATGATGAATCCAAAAGTACACTAGCACTATACATAAATAATATCAATGACATGCAAGTAAAATTACTAACCTTTTAATGTTTCTATGAACTACTGCTATCTCTGCAATAGCTTCATGAAGGTAGCATAGGCCTCTTGCTGCATCCAAAGCTATTGATATCCTAACCATCCATGGTAGGCCAATAGTTGGCGATTGCAGTACATTACTCCGGTCAAGCTATATGAGACATAATATTATCACAATGATGCATTAAAGCCAGGCATACACTAGGCAACATGTTGCTGGCAACATTTGTGGTTACTTTGATCTTGTAACCAACATGTTGCCAGAAATAGAAAGCTGTTCTATTTCTGGCAACATGTTGCTTGCAAGATCAAATTAACTACAAATGTTGCTAGCAACATGTTGCCTAGTGTATGGGGCCTTTAAAGTTAAATTCATATTCAATGCATGTTGAGTTTGAGCTTAAGTGTGAATAGAAAAATTACTCCAAAATCCAGTGCATCTTCTAAACTTCCATTAGCCATAAACTCATGAATGAGACACCTTGGTAAACCAGGTTTGTTAGAATAACCAAGTAACGTGACAAGATTAGGATGACGAAACCTGGAAAACATAGGCACAATGTCAAAAGCTGTTCTTGTTAAGCCACCATGCAATACTGAATTATGAAGACCAGAACAGAAGAATCAATAATCACATACAAGTAAAAGTATGAAAACGTGGGAGTAAATTTATGATTACTTGGAAAGTATTTGGATTTCAGCGTCAAACTGCTCATCGACTAAATCAGATGCTTCTTTATCACCCTATATGGTGTTAAAACAGATACACTACACAGTAAACCCTGCCTTTCAATTAACTATTCACTAAAACACTGAAAAACCTCGTGAAAAACACTCACTGGTTTTGTTCTACGCAGTACTTTAATGGCTACATCAGTAAAGAGCATTGACACTTTGAATACAGGACCAAATCCACCCTCTCCTAGCTTACAGTCACGTCCAAAGTCTTTCGTTGCTATCTTTAATGCTTCATAGTCAAAGTGCAGGCAGGAGACATTACCACCAATATCTATGTCACCACGTACAGTTCGTCGACTCATCCCCCTGGTGGACATATTTTATCCTGAAGGCTAGAAGTAGCAGGTGTGGCTTGACTTGAGTGTGGTCTTCTTTACATTGTACATTACATTTAATCAAAACTACTATTCAACACCTGAAATAATGGTTAAATGCAAATCTAGCCTAAATCCTGCTGCTGCCATCATCACTCTAAATCTATAAGTCTAATACTGACACTCCTGTCCTGTCCAAACTGCAATGAAGTATCCAGATGCACAAGAAGAGTTTCCAACCGCAATTTTTATCTTCATTTGACAGTAATGTCCCTTGTTCCTACCATTTTTTGTGTCCCTGCTGTCGGTGCTCTTGCAACCCTTTACCACCAAATCTGGAACATTTTTAACTGTTTTTATTTAGGCTCTTTGATTATGTTCACTGAGACCATCAAGGTCCTATATATTTTGTCTAACTCATTTCTTTTACTCCCTTTGTCCCACCTTGTAAAGTTATTATTATTATTATTATTATTATTATTATTAACTGTCCTTTAAAAACTGCAGTATTTGTGTTTTTAAAAGTATCTAGCCTAAAACGTGCAGGGCTATCATGAAGCATGAATGAAGTTAGTGTCTCTGTTGCCAACAAACAGGAATGGTAATGTAATATCAGACATAAAATTAATATAATTAAAAATTAGGTTTTCTTTTTTGTTTTGTTTTCTTCTGCAAATAACTGACCACTTAATAAAGACAGCTCCTCCAGTAGAACATAAATCTTTAAAATAAAATCCATTTATTTACAATGCAGTGTATTAATTATTACCTCATTCATTCCAGGTCTGTCAAAATGACTTTCTGTCAGGCACCTTTGGGCAATGCTGAATAATTTAAAGAAAGAGCGGCTAGGCCAATCGCCAGCAAGACCATCCACATATTGTACCAGAAGAAAGTCTTTTCTTCTTGTCATCGTTTCAATGAAAGTAACCTATAAAACAAGATGCACACCAGCGGTCTAAGTTAGATCTTTCCTCTCTTTTACCAAATCTGAATACTCTTGATTTCTTTTAGGATCATAACTTGGTAAACCAGTTAGTATTTCTAGTAATACCTACATGCATATAAATTATCTGCAATAGAATGTACTTGCTATAACTACTCACTACTCCAAAAGCATAAGTATCCAGTTTAGTAGTGATGACTCCTCTGTAGTATTCAGGTGCAATATAACCTGATGTTCCAACTATTCTAGCGGTTTGACTTTGACGAATGCCATGACTTGCAGGCTGATGGCCTATAGCTCTCACTAGACCAAAGTCTCCAACTTTTGCACGGAACGATAAATCCAATAGAACATTAGCACTACATGTACATACATGTAAATCAGAAGTCAAATGCTCAAATACTAACAAGGTATACTAACCTTTTTATGTCTCTGTGAACTAATGGTGATTCTTTAATAGCTTCATGAAGATACCTTAGACCTCTTGCTGTATCGATTGCTATTGATATTCTAACCATCCATGGTAGACCAATAGTTTCTGATCCTTCTACTTTACTCCTGTCAACCTGTAAAAATTTATGACAAATTATTCAACAATTAAAATACTAAAATGAATTAATGATCATTCTCAATATGTTTAAACCATATCATAATATACCATAATGTTAATGTTTAGACCATAGTGGTATGTGTGCATTAAAATTACTCCAAAATCCAGTGCATCTTCTAACGTTCCATTGACCATAAACTCATAAATGAGACACCTTGGTAAACCAGGATCATTTGAATAACCAAGTAATGTCACAAGATTTGGATGACGAAACCTGAAAGACATAGAGTACATTAAAATTGATGAATATTTTCAATAATTACTTTGAAAGTATTTGGATTTCAGCATCAAACTGCTCATCGGCTAAATCAGATGCTCCTTTATCGCCCTATTAATAGTAAAAAAGGTGTGTAGGTTAAAATTAGCACTAATTGCAATCCAAAGATGCTTCTATAATTGCAATTTACAAAACACAATAGACATTGAAATCAATTGTGGCTATCAAATAAATAATCAATTGAGCTTAAGGTCAAGCTCAAACTCACTGGTTTTGTCCTACGCAGTACTTTAATAGCTACATCAGTAGAAAGTAGTTCTCCTCTAAATACAGGACCAAACCCACCTTCACCCAATTTATTGCTCTTATTAAATCCTTTTGTAGCTACTTTGACTCCTTCATAGTCGAAATGCAGGCAAGAAACGTTACCACGTTCAGTTCCTTGGTGTACCGGTTGACGGCCTCTGTTAGTGGAGGACATGCTAAGGGTTAGTAAGAGAGACGGAAAGAGGAAAAAGAGTAAGCAAGATGACTAAGATCACAGCACATTATACCTCATTTTTACTGGGGAAAAGCCCTGGTATGAATAATTAATTAGATAGGCGGTGGTTAGAATATTTTAATATGAATATTTAATGAGTATGGCTAATTAGTAGGCGGAGAATTAATATTCTTTTATTCATTATCTCTACAATAACTTCAAACAAAAAGAGTATGAATCTAATGACGCTTTGGCTGGATCCTGACGTGGTTGGTTTCATATCAGCTACCTTTACCATTTGCCTCTCTTCAACTGGGATGTAAGTTCTCCTGCTAGCTAACAAAGTGATAAATAAAAACTTTAAAATAAAATATATTTATTATAGTAATGATGCACACACCCATTTATAGATGGACCTGTTGGTGTATAATTTCAGAGAAAAGTGTTGGGACTCGTAGCTATTTGCCATTTCTTGCTGGAGCTCTTATGTAAGCCATGAATTCTCTTTTATTTAATTTAATTTAGTACTTTAAAATGGTCTGATAATTATTTAGACCATTAGGTTGTATTTTAAAAAGAAAGTAAAATAAAATAAAAGATTTTGCAATAATAGTACATATGAGATCAGAATTATTTATAATACCTTAAGGCCACTATTTGCGAGTACTAATTTTTGCAAGTGGCTCTAAAATTGCAAAATTAGTACTCACATTTATTAATAATTTACGTTTATTAATAGTTATTAATTGAAAAAATGAGCAAAATCATAAAAAATTAATACACGTTAAATCAATACTATTAACAAATTGCAAATATTAATTTTGTCTACTTAAAAATAAGTGGCTTCAAGGTACTTTGTAAATTTGTAATAATAATTTCTTCTTTTCAGGTCCTCCCTGTGGTTGCTCTATGGTATTGTAGTGAATGATAATCCGATGATGTTTGTTAATTTCATTGGTTCAGTCCTTCAGTCAATATATTTCATCATATTCTACCTATTCACTAATGATAAAGTAAGGAAGACTATAAATCATTTCTGTTTCTCTTTCCAATTTATATAAATCATCTAAAAATGCTGCAAATATCAAAAATATCAAAATATCAAGTATAGAAATCTTTGCAAAAAAATTTATACTCAACATGCACCTTTGACTACAAAAATAAACCTAACATACATGTAAAATATATTAGTACTACTCTTTCTAGCAATATATTATACCGTATACACTATATATTTTGCGGGTAGGAAATTTCGCGATTTGGCTGCATTTTTGTGTTTGTGAACAAAAATTTTTTTGAGATTTTAATGTAATTACCACACATATATACAATCAGCATGCTATTTTGCGGATTTTAATTTTGCAAATTTTTCCAAAACGTGAAAACCTCGAAATTTAATCTCTGCAAAATATATGGTGTATACAGTATCTTGTTTCTATGCTACTGTGTATAAGAATCATTTAATATTGATGCTGTTTCTTCCCCTTTAGTCTGTCCCTGGTAGAAATGGCCTCGTTGCTGTTGTGAGTGTTTTATTTATATATGTGACAGTTCTTAATCTACCCCAACTCCTACAAGTTGTAGTGGCCCTTGGATTCATATGCAATGCTGTCACTATTGCATTCTTTGCTGCTCCACTAGCATCAATGGTAAGAACTAATGAAAGCATCTATAATAATATTTATGAGAAAGAAAGAGAGTGAGTGAATCANAGCTGGACTACAATATGATGTTAGGCCAGTGTATTGTCAATTTTTAATCAAAAGTGTGGACTATTT